TAGAAGTAGTAGTAGTAGTAGTAGAAGTAGTAGAAATAGTAGTATCGTCATCATCAAACTGTACAATTTCTACATTTTGATATATCTTAAGCCCCTCTGCAATAGTTGGACAGGAGGAATTGGACCTCCCTGCATGCTTTATGACAGGTTATCTCATCAAATCAGCTCTCAATTAACATAAGAAACAGGGGATCATGGGGGACCAACGGTCACCGATTAGGTATTGATTGTTATATAGAGGGTACAAGTCGCTATATGTAGTGCAGTGGGACTTTAAATGATTTAATTCTCTCTCCCGAAACGCTTGCTTGCTCTGCTCACCCGCAATATAAAGTCCTTGATCAAGATGTTCTCTTTTCTTTGCGACAACTATTATTAATTTCTATGATATTATTTGAATATTTATAAAAGTAGAAACACCATTTGTTTGCTACTTGTCTTCGTCATAAAAAAATGAAACGTTATTTTTAGCAATGCTGCAACGTTTTTTATTAGGTGAGTAACAAACGAATTCGCATCGCAAATATTTGTCGATGGCATGGCTGCATGGAGTCTCCCACAAAAAGTGTTTGCTTTGAAATCCATTAACTCTGCCTGGTATTGGTGTTAATTTAATGTCTCGTTTCAATTAAATATTGTTGTAATACACGACGTTTGTATGTAGTATTTTATTACTCATATTAAAGCACGTATATTAAAATCCTCTACACTGTAGTAAATGGCCAGGGACGTACACGTAAGTGTTGGTTAAGGAAATGGGCTCTAAAGGAGAGAGAGAGAGAGAGAGAGAGAGGGGGTGTGTGTGTGTGTGTGTCAAATAGATAGAGGTCTATTCTTAATTCAAATGTAGTCTATTGATTGATATCCTAATAATAAAGGTTCAATCTCTATTTTGTTGTTTTACAAGGAGATCACAAGTTATGATTTTGAGAGAGAGAAAGAGAGAGGTCAGAGAGAGAGAGAGAGAGAGAGAGAGGTTAGAGAGAGAGAGAGAGAGATAGAGAGAGAGGGTGAGGGGGAGGTAAAGAGAAAAACCTGAAAGAGAAAAGAAGAAAAAGAAATACCTGACAAGTTTTGCTCTTTACAATATGCAGTCATTTTTCACTTTTCTGGCCTTCAAATGGTACTTGGTTTTATTGATTTTTAGAGAAAAACAATAATATATTATGGTAATTGCTTTCAAATCAGAGGCTTTTGCTATATCTGATACCGGGGATTTAACGTTAGTATTCTACCAACGTTTAAACATATAGGGGAGATATAACCACATGAAACAAACTGCTGTACCGGAAACTGTTCTAACCAAAGTAAGAAAATTACCATGTGTGTGTGTGTGTAATCGGGTTTTTACAGACATGTATGACATGATTATTTGCGTCTGGGAACCGACCTTTAACATCATCATCAGTTTCGAACCGGGGTCGTTTGAGCAAGTGTGGGCGAAGACAGAGAGCTGACCAAGTTAACGTGCCGCTAGACCTACTCCCTAACAAACCATCTTGAAATATATTTATAGCATTAGTTGTTTATTGTACAAATTTAACTTAGAGTGTAGAGTTTAATTAATACTCATTATATGGACTCTCCTTCAACTTTGTTTCCTTTTAAATATGATTTTATAAAAAAATATTTGCTTATCTGTGGATTTGCATTCCTTTAAAGGCATCGTTTAACAATGTTAAATCTGATAAGCATGACCCTACATCCACGTGCTATGATATGTTGTAATGTTGAATCCCTAACAAAAATTGCGCTTCAAAATGATCATGAAGTGCCTCAAAAAATCTTTGAGTGACCGGTTTTACCATATTCATTTTCCCCAATAGACTGTACTGTTATAACAATCATTAGGAAAATGAAAAAAGAAGATTTTGATTTCCGATTATAAATAGGCTTTATATTCAGACAGGCGATTGGCTTGTAAAAGACATGGGATTCCTGACTGACTTAAAGGTTTATAATTATCATAGCTGCATGAGCTAATTCCAGGATTTAGTTTCAGAAACTGAGGCAATGCTACAGAGTCATTTTTAAGGCATCATTTAACAATGTTAAATCTGAGATGCATGGCCCTACCTGTTATCAATGTCTGTGATATGGTCATATTGGAGCCCTAAGAAATTGCGCTTCAAAATGATCACGAAGTGCCTCAAAAAAGTAAAAAAATCTTTGAGTGACCGGTTTTACCTTACTCATTTTTCTCCCAATTAAATCTGAGATGCATGGCCCTACCTGTTATCAATGTCTGTGATATGGTCATATTGGAGCCCTAAGAAATTGCGCTTCAAAATGATCACGAAGTGCCTCAAAAAAGTAAAAAAATCTTTGAGTGACCGGTTTTACCTTACTCATTTTTCTCCCAATGGACTATAGTGTTATAAAAACCGTTAGGAAAAACAAAAAATGAAATTTCATTCATAAACATCTTGATAATCAGACAGGCGATATGCTTGTGAAAGTCATGGGGTTCCTGAATGACCTAAATGTTTATAATTATCATTGCAGCATGAGCTAAATCCAGGATTTTGTTTCAGAATCTGAGACAAAGTTATTTAATCACTTTTAAGGAGAAAACCAACTCGATTTTAAGGCCTTCAACGAAATGTCGGTGATAGTCGTTAGTGCATATACATGCTGCTACAGGATTGGATTTATTTGCTCTCGTTTAGTTTTATTATGGTGACTTTTACAAAGGAAAACCAATATCTAAAAGAACTTAGGCCTTATTGAAGAGTTTTGTGTCTGTTTCCTCGTTCATTTTATCCTATTTCTTAGTAACGTACACAAATTAATCAACTTTTACTATAATAACATTTTTATGAAAGCAGAAATAAAAGCTAAATAAAATGGTGAAAGCTTGAAATAAATGGCATTTGACCTATACAGAGAGTAGATGTAAATGTGAAATATGAAATAAACTAATCTGAAATTGAAACATGTTTAGATGAATCCGTGGCAGTATTATTGTACAATATCGACCTATACTTAAAAGGAGTACTCATTCAGCAGATATTTGTTTTCTTTCAAATTCATATTTGACTATTGTCAATGTTGAGCTGTCACTTAATAATATAATACCCGAAAATAACCCAAATATGTCGGTGATTTAAAGAACGCCATTGAATTTTATAACGCTGTGTGATGTCATCAAAACCTATTTCGTCATTGGTCAAAATTGCATGAAAACATGACCTCAAAATGTCAATATTGAAATGCCATCACGTATTGTGTGCATGCGAGAGGCTGGTATAAGAGATGCATTGCTCACTGTAACTCGCTCATTGTGTCAGAATACTTATGCATTTACAGGTGTGCGTCTCATAAATCGTGAAATATGAAGATGGGGACTTTTCTTCCTATATTGCAGATACTAGTCTGTACGCATGTACTCTGGTGGGGCGTACAAGGAATGACTACCGAATGTGAGTATGGCTATTAAACGTATAGTAAGGAAAGAGTACGCAATAGGCCATTTGGCTCCCAACATAAACAAATCCTCTGTGTGTCCATGCCTTGAGTCATAATGCATGGCCGTCCAGAGGATTTTTGTTATGTTGGGGACCGGGGTAAAAATGAAATAAATTATTGAAAATTTATTGCATTTTCTTTGTTTTTTTTATTTATGGAAACTGCCCCCTACCCTAGCCCCCGCTGCGTACAGTCATGGTTCAGTGACAAAGCAATGGCCTCGTAACTGTGAGGCCCCAGGATCAAAACCGTGTCGATGTGCTATATTAGTACCCTTTTGTGGGGCATTAATCCTCATTACTGTCATTTATGACATAAGGGCGTAGCTCCCCTAGTTGACAAGCATAGTACATACACATGCTTTAGCAGTCACGCAAAACACACATTGCAAATCATTATTCAATAAAATCTGAGAATGTATACTATTATCTAGATCTATTATTTTAAAATTATTTTTAAAATAATTCCATAAATTGGGTAAAACAAAAATATTCCAACTTTATGAGCGACAGTGTACATGTATAAAAGAAAATAATAATAATAATAATAATAATAATAGCCTAATAAGTCCACTCCAAATTTTATTAAACCAAAACGGAAATTCTTTTTGCCCAATTGATCGTGAGCCCGGCAGCCACTGAGCAGCGCCAGATCGACGTTGCTCTATCCCATATTGTTGAACGCCAAACCAGGTAGCAACAACTCCCATCTGTTAACGTCTTTTGGTATGACGCGGCCGGGGTTCGAACCCACGACCTCCCGGTTGTGAGGCGGACGCTCTACTGACTGAGCCAACACTCCGGTGGTAGACGTAATATGACGTAATGCCTTGGGGGTGCTGTACAGCTGCAAGAAATAAAAACGATTCTTTTTTTTTTTAATATGATATATATACATCTTTATCCTTCAACATGAGAATTTGATTTACAACATAATCACTCACAAATTTATATATATACATATTTTCTATATCACTTTTCACTTTCTGGTGAATAAACCATTTGATATTTTGTGTGCTCAGAGTGTCACTGTGTGTGTCACAATTATGTGAGCGTCAAAATGATTGGGGCTTAGTGTGTTTACATATTAATACTGTGCAGTTGTCTGTATTTTTTCTGCTCGTAATGGTCCTACACTGTAATATAATATCTAGGCCTAAAAAATGATTTTATTGCCCTTTAGGTGCCAGCACCTGGGTCGGTCGGTCGATTTATTGTTTGATTTTGTTTGGTTTATTTTTTTATCTTTGAGCTGATATGTTGCAGTTTTTAATGTTTCACTTCATTTTTTGTTTATTCATTTTAACTTTTTTGTTAACGGTGAGGAAACAAAAGCCAACCGTAGATTTTAAGATTTGGGGGGTCGGTCGCAAAAGGCAACACAACAACGATTTGTTTAACCCCTATAGTAAGTTTACATTTCGTTCATAATCTGCTTTTGTTGTAACGTTTAGTCATCGGTCTCTTATTTTAAATTTGGTATTTCTTTAATCCTGCCGAATTCATTCTCTCCTTCATTTGAATTTGAAACAGCTCCTGAACTTATTGGTGCTCGTCTGGTTGACGGATCTCGTAAATCAGAGGGAAGAATTGAAGTTTACTACCAAGGACAATGGGGCACCGTCTGTGATAATCTTTGGACCATCAGGGAAGCCAGTGTGTTGTGTAAACAATTGGGATATACTGGAGCAGATGAGCTTGTAATAGCCGGGAGGTTTGGACAAGGAGAAGGCGATGTACTACTAGAAAGGGTGCAATGTACTGGTGATGAGGCAAACCTGTTTGAATGCACACACGGTGCGATTCCAACCACCGCTTGTGACCATTCAGAAGACGTGGGCGTGGTCTGTACTTCTACAGGTTGGTCTTTTTATACCACCAGCCCTTAAATATATATTTTATTTATTATAAATATTATATTACTACATTATAAATCATATATATTGTATATAATATAGATCAATACTATATATATTATATACTACTTAACTTATACATTATAAAAAAACAGCATATAATTTTCATTGTTTTTATTCTCATGTTTACAACCATCACCACTACTATATTAAAGTATTACTAGGCCTACTACCGTAATTTTTCTTTAACAATTTTCTTCAGTTTAGAACGGTTGGAATTTGCCATCTTTAATCTAATCAACCCCATTCATGTTCGAATTGCATGTGCTCGTATTCCTTGGGCTTTGTCATCTATTTTCTTACATATACATGTACATGTGACTCTTAGAATCATTGCCTTTTTTGCATTAATGTTATGCTTTAAAAAAATAATCTATATCTCGGTCAAAATTTTAGGCTTACTTTTTGACAGGAAATAAACCTTGAATGGAATTGAATTGACTTAAACTGTTATTACCATAATCAACATTATTGGTATTATTATTATTATTATTATTATTATTATTATTATTATTATTATTATTATTGCTATTATTATTATTGTTATTATTACTAACATTATTATTTTTCTTTCCTAGTGCCCCCCCCCCCCCCCCGCCAAAAAAATGTATATATGTTTAAAAGGGATACAAATGCATAAAATCAACAAATTATTCCCAAATTCACACTCGTTTTCTGCCCTATTTCCAAAATCCTGCAAGTAACCGAGTAAATAAGTAGACCCGGCATCGTGTACGTATATATATCATGCAATGCACCAGCTAAGAAACAAGCAAAATTTGGGCGACGCTCCCGGTTTTTTTTTCTTCATGTGTCAGTTTCAGTCCCTTCTTTAGTTAGTAAAGAGGCCACTTTGTGCCCGGGTCCACCTGTACAATCGTCATCAATCTTCACATTGCTCCCAAGTTTTACAGGTAGTTGAAAACCAACTCCGTCAGCTGGATAGCGCAGAATGTTCTCTCAACACAACATTGTAAACCATGGTTTGTTATGTATGAGGTGAAAATATATAAATGAAATGATGCCGCGAAAGCAAAATTGTGTTAAAGCATTAGAAACTGAGAAATATCAACCCAAAGAGAAAAATAAATTAATGGAATAGCATCCCTCTTTCCGTGAGTGAAATAACCTGTCTTGCCACCTTCAAAAGATCCCTCGAAACTTACCTTTTCTCCTAATGATCTATGTGACCTACTTCCTTTGAGACTGTAAATGTTTGGCTCTATTTTCGCATATTTGCACTTGTAAACGCTATGGCGCTTATTGTTTTTGGCACTCCTAAATATTCGATATTATTATTATTATTATTTCTATTATTATAATCACATTGCATTACCTTGTTAATGTACGTAGGTTCTGTAAGACTGGGGGATGCTACATCATTAGGTAGAGGCAGACTGGAATACCTGGATGAGAGCCAAGGCTGGGGAACTGTGTGCAACCAAACCTGGAGCCAATCCGACAGCACAGTAGCATGTGTTCAACTGGGATTCGATACTCTTACCATCCATCATGCCTTCCCCGCATCTGGAGGAGACGACCTGCCGATAGTGCTTGGAGGCCTTCAATGTAACGAACAAATTTTTAAAAGATCATTAGATGAATGTGAGAGGGATAATGACTGGACACCTGATAGCTGTACGCATGAGATGGACGTTGGGGTACAATGCAACACCCGTGAGTATATAGAGTACCGAAGTGCCAACTTCATATTTGCTCGACGTCCAGGGCAACGTTTCACGAAACCGTTCATTACAACCAAACAATAAAACGCGAATAATTCAAAACATGTTTCAATCGTGAACTTGTAGTTATATATAAATGTATACATAGAGTATGTAACGGTTTTAAGAAGTGCAACGTCCAGGTTCCAATCAACAAAGCCTGCGCATAACGTTCACTACGAAAGCATTCAAGCAATTGGCATATATTTTCGTAATGTAACCCAAATTAATGGATACGTCTTTGTTAGGTTGGGCAAGCCATAATGTTTGCCATACCTAGCACAAACTAATGTACGTAATATTAAGCATCCTGTCTAAAGAATAACACTTTCTGTATTAAAAGTACTATATGTCCCATTTGCAGGCCAAAAATAGAAAAAGTAAAATTCCAACAGCATTTGAAAGGTAATACTAATTTAGAACTTCCCCCAAAAAGGGGGCTTGAAAATGTCTTTATGTGGGAAAATAACGACTATTAGTTGTCAAATCGATATAATCGATAATCAAATTAATAGTCTGATTTTCAGAACATTGTACCAAATGGTTGTACGTTTTGTGCTGCATAAAGATTCAATCAGTCTAATTTTGGCCTTAACAAGAAGTGGGTTATTGATGTAGACAAATGCTCATGTACCCTTTACAACTCATTTTATGTATGTTATTACCAAAGAAGGAAAAGGCCAATCAGTCACTCAATAGTGTCTGACAGTGAAGTCTAGCAAGTAAACGGGTTTCAAAAGATTAACTAGACTTTAATTCGTCACTTAGACGAATTAGGTGATACGTATGATAATGGTTTAAATAACGAATATTGTATTACATGATATATTATTTTATAAAATGTTTCTCCCATTATGATCTATCTATATGTCAAGTTAAAATTGTGTCCCCTTGATCATCATGGATCTCGGGAAGATAGATTGAAACAATATATGACCGTTGACCCTGTACAGTAACCAGTTACACCTTTGACTCTAATTTACACCATGAAGAACACATTTTTACGATTTTATCTTATTCAAAGAAATGAAAATGTAATTGATAAATGATTATCATCATTATGATAATGATGATCATGATGATAATGATCATGATCATGAGCGTGATCCTGATATCTAATTAAAAAAATGAGGAATGATTGAGATAGCATATAGTCTCGGCTACAACATACTCAAAAATTTACTAAATCCATGCAGAAATAACGGCGATATTGCTCGCAAAAGACAGGAATGAAGAATCCAGATTTGAAATAAAGTCATCTTCCATAGGGATTACACGCAAAAAAGTAATGGATTAAGTGAGAAAAAAAAGAGTAATAATAAGGTGAAAAAGGTTGTTTATTACATTATTTGCGAATCTACGTGTTTTAAAAATCAAAGGAGATGGTACAGTGAAAGGTCCAATAGAAAAAAAAAGAAAAAAACAATTGTTGTGCGTTACCGATATACCAACACATTTCCCATGGCGATTACACGTAAACGGGAAATGGAATTCTCAAATCCTACTTTGCAAGTGTAATATAAGCATGATCCCGGCATCTGATTAAAAATAAAAGACACAGTAGTGATAGCTGATTGTCTAAGCTACAACATACTCGAAGCTCAGCTAAAACAAATTTAAAACAAAGCAGATTTTGCTCGCGAAAGACAGGAATGTAGATTCCAGTTTTGAGAAAAAGTCATGTCCCATAGAGAATACACGCAAAATGTGAAAAATTGATATGCCTCCTTTAATCGCAAAAATACGCCATGATGCCTTTGTCTAAATGAACAATTGTGAATAATATATTTGTAGACAATTGTCTCAGGTAGAACATATCGAAATTTGAAAGAAATCGATCAATATTTACAGAGATACAATCGACTTTCCAAAAATATGCTGACGTTATAATATGCAAATTTAATTTTTGAGTTTGGAGGCCATTATGATGACGTCATGAGTTAATTAAGGGTCAAATGAGACATGAAATCATATCTCCAACTCATAATCGATCTAAATAGTAAAGAATATAGGGAGTTTCCATTTATTCTGAAGAGTTACAATGAATTTTTTATAGGCATATTTTTGCCCATGTATTGTGGGTAAAGATAACGCAGGCCCGCGCGCGCTGTCAACTATGACGGACGCTCATTGCTTTATCAAAAGGTGAACAAGTTATAAAAATGCTTTGAAAAATGTGCCAAATATGAAAACAGAGAAAATTCGGCGATTCTACGTTACAAAATGCTAGTACGCGCAAAAAACGCGCGCGCATGCGCGTATGCATGATTTGTTGTCAAATGCTCCAAATGGCCTGAAAAGTATGCAAAAAAAATTTGGGATGATTTGGAGCATTTTTAATTTTTGCGCGCACGTAAACGCGCGCACGAAAACGTACGCGCGCATTTGCGCACATTTATTGAGCCAAAATTGACCGGACGGATATTGATCTTAATCATGAAAATTATGAATGAGAAATAATTTTCTGTTATGAAGATATGATCATAAGTTGATTTTCACAAAATGGCGCCTGGATGACGTCACGATGACGTTGAGTCTATGAAAAGTCACGCAGTTCTAAGTTAGACTAAGATCTATCATCATGGCAAGTTGTATGATAATGGCTTAAGCCATTCTTGAGATATCCTGCGAACAAAATTGAGGAAGAATAATAATAATTTCTTCTATACAGACACAAAATAAATACTAGACTTTAATTCGTCACTTAGACGAATTAGGTGATACGTATGATAATGGTTTACATAACAAATAATGCATTACACGATATATTATTTTGCTTCTCCCATTCATATGCTTCTCCCATTATGATCTATTCATATGTCAAGATTAAATTGTGTCTCCTTAATCATCATGGATCTAGGGAAGATAGATTGAAACAATATATGACCTTTGACCCTATGCAGTAACCAGTTACACATTTGACTCTAATTTACATCATGAAGAACACCTTTTGACGATTTTATCTTATTCAAAGAAATGAAAATGTAATTGATAAATGATTAGCATCATTATGATAATGATGATCGTGATGATCATGATCATGATCATGACATCTTATTGAAAAAATGAGGGTTGATTTAGATAGCATATAATCTCAGCTACAACATACTCAAAAATCAACAAAATCCAAGCCGAAATAACGGCGATATTGCTCGCAAAAGACAGGAATGTAGCCTCCAGATTTGAGAAAAAGTCATCTCCCATAGGGATTACACGCAAAAAGTAATGGATTAAGTGAAAATAGGGTAATAATAAAGTAAAAAGGGTTATTTATGACATTATTTGCGAATCTACGTGTTTAAATAATCAAAGGAGATGGTACAGTGAAGGTCAAAAGGAAAAAAAGTGAAAAAAAAGTGTTGGAGACACCCGGACTCAAACCAGGGATCTCGAGGTTGGAAGTCAAGTGCGTTACCGATATACCAAAACATCTCCCATAGCGATTGCACGTAAACAGGAAATGGAATTCAGAAATCCTACTTTGCAAGTGAAATATGAGCATGATCCCGGCATCTAATCGAAAAATAAAGGGCACACTTGTGATAGCTCATTGTCTCAGCTACAACATATCCGAAGCTCAGCGAAAACGAAGCTAAAACAACGTAGATTTTGCTCGCGAAAGACAGGAGTGTAGAATCCAGTTTTGAGAAAAAGTCATGTCCCATAGAGAATACACGCAAAATGCGAAAAATTGACATGCCTCCTTTAATCGCAAAAATACACCATGATACTTTTGTCAAAAATAAAAATTGTGAACATTACATTTGTAGAAAATTGTCTCAGCTAAAACATATCAAAATTAAAAAGAAAATTGATCCATATTTACAGAGATACAATCAATTTTCCAAAAATATGCTGACGTCATAATATGCAAATTAAAATTTTGAGTTTGGAGGCCATTATGATGACGTCATGAGTTAATTGAGGATCAAATGAGACATGAAATCATATCTCCGACTCATAATCTATCAAAATATGACAAAATATTAGGAGTTTCTATCTATTCTAAAGAGTTACAATGAATTTTATATAGGCATGTTTTTGCCCATGTATTGTGGATAAAGATAACGCAAATCCGCGCGTGCTGTCAACTTTGACGGACGCTCATTGCGTTAATAAACGGTGAACAAATTATCAAAATGCTTGGAAAAATGTACCGAATATGATGACAGAAAAAAATCGGCGATTCTATGTTGCAAAATGCCAGTACGCGCGAAAACGCGCGCGCATGCGCGTGTGCGTAATTTTTTTATCAAATGCTCCATATGGCCTGAAACGTATGCAAAAAAAAATTGGGATGATTTAGAGCATTTTAAACTTTTGCGCGCGCGTAAACGCGCGGACGAGCGCGCACGCGCGCATTTACGCACGTTTATTGACCTCAACTTGACCGGACGGATATTGATCTTAATCATGATAAATATGAATGAAAAATTATTATTCGTTATAAAGATATGATCATTAGTTGATTTTCACAAAATGGCGCCTGGATGACGTCACGATGACTTTGAGTCTTTGAAAAGTCACGCAGTTCTAAGTTAGACTAAGATCTATCATCATTGAACGATTCATAACAATGGCTTTGTTCAGTCTTGAGATATCCTGCGAACAAATTCGAGGAAGAATAATAATAAATAAATAAATAAATAATAATAAAAATCTTGACGAAATCAAAAGGTGATACGTCTACGTACGTATCACCTAATAATAATAAAGAAAATCTTGACGAAATCAAAAGGTGATACGTAGACTTCGTTACGTATCACCTAATGATTCCGTCAAAATTTGCAATTTCAACTTTCGATTGAAAATTCCGACATGATCCCAACATCCGATGAAAAAACAAAGTACACCGTTTTGATAGCCCATGGTCTCAGCTATAACATACCCCAATTTGGGAGAAAACAGAGCACACATAAGATAGATAGTGCTCATAGATGAATGCCATGTAGATTCATGATGTGAACGAAATTCACCTTCCATAGACATAACACGCAAATGACGAAAATTCTGACATGTGGCCTTTAATTGAATTTTGTACTATGATGACCTCATTAAAATGAAACTTAGTGAAAAGTGATCTTGTAGAGAATTGCCTTATCTACAACATATCGACATTTCAAAGAGAATCGATGAATATTGAGAGAAATACACTACATTTTCCATAAATACAATGACGTCATAATATGCAATTTTGTATTTTTGACTTCCAAGGCCATTATGATGACGTTAAGATGTACTTAATGGCCAAATGAGATATGAAATCATACCTCCGACTCATACTCTATCTAAATATGAAAAAAAAATTGGCAATCCCTATTCATCCCAATGGACTTTTTATAGGCATGTTTTTGCCCATATATATGCAATGTATTACAAAAATCGCGCGTACGGAAGGTTATCTTGAACGGACGCTCATTCCGTTTTTAATAGTGGTAAAGAGCTAAACATGGTATCAAATTTTCCGGAAAAATATGAGGAATATTCGGTCAAAAGCTTTTGCGGAGAAATTATTTTTCGTTCGGCCGTGACGAACGAAAACGTCCAAAAATGCGTGTTTTGCGTGATTTTTTATGAAATGCTTATAATGGCCTGAAACGTATGCAAAAAAAATTAAGACGATTTTGAGCAATTTAAAATTTTACGCGCGCATTAACGCGCGCTCCTACGCGTACGCGCATTTTTGCGCGCATTTATTGACCTCAAATTGACCCGACGGATATTGATCTTATTCATGATAAATATGAATGAAAAATAACTTTCCGTTATGAAGATATGATCACTAGTTGATTTTCACAAAATGGCGCCTGGATGACGTCACGATAACTTTGAGTCTTTGAAAAGTCACGCAGTTCTAAGTTAGACTAAGATCTATCATCATTGAAAGATTCATGACAATGGCTTTATTCAGTCTTGAGATATCCTGCGAACAAATTCGAGGAAGAATAAAAAGAAATAATAATAATAAAGAAAATCTTGACGAAATCAAAAGGTGATACGTAGACTTCGTTACGTATCACCTAAAAATGTCTACAAGACCGACGTACAACGAAAACTATATACCATACGTATGGTGTATGAGCCTGATACAGGAAACGAATGTCATATGGAATAGCATGTTTGTTTGTTTGTTTTATTTTAGTGTTTTTTTAGGTGATACGTACGTAGACGTATCACCTTTTGATTTCGTCAAGATTTTTATTATTTATTTATTTATTATTATTCTTCCTCGAATTTGTTCGCAGGATATCTCAAGACTGAATAAAGCCATTATCATGAAACTTTCAATGATGATAGATCTTAGTCTAACTTAGAACTGCGTGACTTTTCAAAGACTCAAAATTATCGTGACGTCATCCAGGCGCCATTTTGTGAAAATCAACTTATGATCATATCTTCATAACGGAAAGGAATTTTTCATTCATATTTATCAGGAAGAAGATCAATATCCATCCGGTCAATTTCAGATCAATAAACGTGCGCAAATGCGCGCGTGCGCGTTCGTACGCGCGTTTACGCGCGCGAAAAAAATTAAAATGCTCCAAATCATCCCAAATTTTTTTTGCATACGTTTCAGGCCATATGGAGCATTTGACAAAAAATCACGCAAACGCGCATGCGCGCGCGTTTTTTGCGCGTACTAGCATTTTGCAACATAGAATCGCCGAATGTTCTCTATCATCATATTTGGTACATCTTTCCAAGCATTTTGATAACTTGTTCACCTTTTAATAACGCAATGAGCGTCCGTCAAAGTTGACAGCGCGCGCGGACCTGCGTTATCTTTATCCACAATACATGAGCAAAAACATGTCTATACAAAATTCTTTGTAACTCTTCAGAATAGATAGAAACTCCCAATATTTTTTCATATTTAGATAGGTTATAAGTTGGAGATATGATTTCATGTCTCATTTGACCCTCAATTAACTCATAACGTCATCATAATGGCCTCCAAACTCAAAATTTCAATTTGCATATTATGACGTCAGCATAATTTTGGAAAATTGATTGTATCTCTGTAAATATTGATTGATTTTCTTTTAAATTTTGATATGTTCTACCTGAGACAATTTTCTACAAATAAATAATCCACAATTTTCCATTTTGACAAAGGCATCATGGCGTATTTTTGCAATTAAAGAAGGCATGTCAATTTTTCACATTTTACGTGTATTCTCTATGGGACATGACTTTTTCTCAAAACTGGATTCTACACTCCTGTCTTTCGCGAGCAAAATCTCTGTTGTTTTAGCTTCGTTTTCGCTGAACTTCGGATATGTTGTAGCTGAGACAATGAGCTATCACAAGTGCGCCCTTTATATTTCGATTAGATGCCGGGATCATGCTCATATTTCACTTGCAAAGTAGGATTTCAGAATTCCATTTCCCGTTTACGTGTAATCGCTATGGGAAATGTTTTGGTATATCGGTAACGCACTTGACTTCCAATCTCGAGATCCCTGGTTCGAGTCCGGGTGTCTCCAACAATTTTTTTCTTCACTTTTTTTTCCTTTTGACCTTCACTGTACCATCTCCTTTGATTATTAAAACACGTAGAATCGCAAATAATGTCACAAACAACCCTTTTTACTTTATTATTACCCTATTTTCACTTAATCCATTACTTTTTGCGTGTAATCTCTATGGGAGATGACTTTTTCTCAAATCTGGAGTCTACATTCCTGTCTTTTGCGAGCAATATCGCCGTTATTTCTGCTTGGATTTTGTTGACTTTTGAGTAAGTTGTAGCTGAGACTATATGCTATCTAAATCAACCCTCATTTTTTCAATAAGATGTCATGATCGCGCTCATGATCATGATCATTATCATCATGATCATCATTATCATAATGATGATAATCATTTATCAATTACATTTTCATTTCTTTGAATAAGATAAAATCGTCAAAAGGTGTTCTTCATGATGTAAATTAGAGTCAAATGTGTAACTGGTTACTGCACAGGGTCAAAGGTCATATATTGTTTCAATCTATCTTCCCTAGATCCATGATGATCAAGGAGACACAATTTAATCTTGACATATGAATAGATCATAATGGGAGAAGCATATAAATGGGAGAAGCATTTTACAAAATAATATATCGTGTAATGCATTATTCGTTATGTAAACCATTATCATACGTATCACCTAATTCGTCTAAGTGACGAATTAAAGTCTAGTTATTGTTTGTTATTTTGTCTGTTTTTAATCCACATGTAAGCGAGCTGCAAATAGCTTGCAGCTTTTCGAAAGTTGTACCGTACAGTATAGTATTTGCATATGTGCATTTTTCGTTTTACATTAATAAACTACTTGTTTACAAAGTATTATCTTGCATATAATCTTGAATATTCTTTTCTTCAATAAAACTGTTATTGAGGCGTGACTTATTGTATATTAAAATATTAAAAAAGAATATCATTATCGCATCCCATTTTCAAATTAAGATCAATGGTATGTTTATTATTGTTCAATTTCCGTTTTCTTTACTTTCTTGCTTTCAATACAATTCTTGCAGCTTTTTGGCTCAGAACTTTGTCAGACGAAAACCATTTCGCAGGCTTACCTTATATATATTATGGACGATTATGGGGATCATTCTGCTTGGACAATTGGGACATCAACGCAGCTCGTATATTCTGCATCAACAGTGGTTTTCAAGATGCAGTATTTACATATAACACGACAGGAGGTCCCGTGACTCCAGTGAGTACGATCGCGAACACAATCAACTGTACAGGAGACGAAGAATACTTCACCGATTGTCCTCAGATAGAATGGGCCTATCAGGGAGAATGCAGTCAGGAGGCTCGACCCGCTGTTGTGTGTCAAGTGGGACAAAAATGTAAGTCCCCCTGCCCCCTCCCTCAATCTTTCACTGTTCTGTGCTCCCTACCTCCTTCATTCTCTCTCTCTCTCTCTCTCTCTCTCGTTCTCTCTCTCTCTGTCAAACTGAAAAGAGTGTTAAGTTATTTTGGCATCCATAGATTAAAATTTAGCAGACGTTCATATCTTTCATAGCATTACAGAGATGTCAACCATAAATTTCCTCTCATTTTTGTTTCTACGACAGCTCACACACGTCACTTAATAGGGATTGAAGTCGGTTTAAACCCACAGCTTTCAACCTAAGCTTTCAACGTTTTACATCTACAGTTTTCACAATGTTTATCTAAAGTTCCCCATAGTATTATGTGAAGGGGCCACAGTTTCCATCCACGTTTCACCCGAAATCACTTAAAAGTAACCTACAGTTTTCAACCACTTTCATTAATGTTTTCAGTCGGATATTTCACACACAGCACAAAGGTTCCACTGCCACCCACAGTTTTAACCAGGCGCGTACGCAGGGGGGGGTGGATGGGTGTATTTTTGAGCGAACCCCCACCCCTTTTTTTGCGTTTTTTGTTTTTTGTTTTAATTAACAAAAAACAAAAAATTATACCAATGGCTGACCGAAAAAAGTGACCTTACCCCCCCCCCCCCCCCTACGGAGCTAAATGGCAAATTTTCAAATTTCGAGACCAAACAAAAAATTAAAAAAAGTGTCCTCTTACTGTACATTACGATCTACATTCTTTAAAATTGTAATACAGTGGAATGTGGATATATTCATTTCATATTATGATCGTAACATGATTAATCCTTCATGCATTTTATAGATAAGTGAACCACAGCATTATTTTACAAACAAAAATTTAGCGACACTAGATTGACTGCAAAAGATCCGCCCATGCCTTGTCCATACTATCTTGCAGTGAAAGTTGAGGGCGCTTTATTCACTAATAACTATTGCTGTTTTACAAGTTTATGCCTATATTGGGCTTTCTGAAGTTGTGTCTGCATGACTGTTAATGAAAGTGTTTATTTATTTATCATGCAATTACACTTTTTACAGCACTTAGCATCGTCAACCCGATTCCTGGTTACCCTGAATACGGTCGAGTAGAAGTGACGGTCAACAACCAGCTGACAGGTACCATCTGTGACAGTACGTGGGACCAGGCTGCAGCTAATGTGGTCTGTCGTGATCTTGGTTTTAAGCGAGGAGCCCGAAGGTTCTTCACCATCGGGGGAGGGGCTGCCGGAGACATATTCAACAGCGTACACTGCACTGGAGATGAAGAAAGTTTTAGCGATTGTCGGAGTGAGTTGGTCCCAGACTCACGAACGGACTGCGATCACACTCAAGACGCTGGCGTCGAATGTGTCGGTAAGCGTGGTCAGTGGCGTACGCAGGATTTTTTCAAGGGGGGGGGGGGTTGAAATAACGCAACAACTCAGCCAGCCGCTGAATAAGCGGGGGGAGGGGTAAGAGCACTTTTTTTGTCCCAAAATTTGGAAATTTGGCCGATCGATATTTGGTTTCGTTGCCGGGGGGGGGGGGGGGGTAAGGTCAGCTTTTCGGGGTATCCCATTACCACAATATTTGTTTTATCATAATTTTTTTTTTTTAATGATTTTAAACAAAAATTGAAGGGGAGTTATTCTAAAACACACACATAAAAAAAGTTAAACGCGCCTGAGCATGGCGCAGTAACCTATTCAAGACTTGCTCAGATATGACGCGGCGAAACACCGCATGAAGAAAAAAAACGCCGCGGTTTTATTTACATGTAACTAAATGGCAACTGCGCGCAACAAAAGACTTATGCCTATTCGTTAAGACATATTTTAACAGTTGAAAGCAACCAAAATGTTTTGGCAAAATTTCCATTTTATTGTATAATGTAACCTTAAAGTGACTCTGTGACATTCCCTCATATTCTGAAACGAAATCCTGGATTCAGCTCATGCTGCAATCATGAGAGTATAAGCCTTTAGGTCAGTCAGGAATGCCATGACTTTTACAAGCCAATCGCCTGTCTTATCATCAAGATATTTATGATTGGAAATCGAAATTCCAAAAACTGTTTTCCTAACGGTTTTTATAACACTGCAGTCTACATGGAAAAATGAGTATAGTAAAACCGGTCACTCAAAGATTTTTTACTTTTTTGAGGCACTTCATGATCATTTCGAAGCGTTTTTTTTTTTTTTTTTTTTTTTTTTTTTTTGAAGGGGGGGGGGGGAACGTCAATATTACACCATATCACAGACACTGTCAGGGCCATGTATCTCAGATTTAACATTGTTAAACGATGCCTTTAAGGGCTAATTAGTGATAATGTAAACAAAATATGATATTGATGTCACTGAGCTTACCTTTGACTGGCACCCATACCCCTGCGCGGAGAGGCATTTAGGCATAAACAAAACCTAAAATGAGTCCGAAATCATCCCTTCCTGCAATCCGACAAAAATATTGCACAGTGGCTTCGAAATCGCTAGAGGACTATTCTTTCTTTTCAGGTGTACTAAAACATTGCATTCTGTTATCTATTTTTGGGAAAACCCTTGCACAAGTGAGTGTTAAAGACATCGTCTTTCACGTCATTATGACTTTAAAGTGAAGTTTCGAAATAAGATTTTAGGGAAAATTGGGGGCTCCAAACACTTTAAGGGGGCTTTATAATCATGGTATTATAGGATAAAGAAATCGCGGTTTGCCATCTCATATTTGGACGAGGCTATAGGTTAGGCAGGTGTATGTGTGGGTAGGTCTGTGGTTCTTCACACCAATTACAAACCTAATTTGTGTATGAGCTTTTTAATCTGTTTCGGAATACCAAATGGTTACAGGGAAGAACATCAGAATCACTTATTTGAACTTTTCATGCAAGAGTGCCCTGAAGTTATCATCATATGTTTCGATCTCGTTCCATCTGTCCTGTCTAGCAAACGATGACGCATTGATTGACTTCGTGAGCGGTGCAGGTTCCTTTGAGGGCGTGGTGTATTACCGAGTAGAGGGTCGACGTGCCTTGATTTGTGATCAAACATGGACTGACAAGGAAGCCGCTGTGGCATGTCGTATGCAGGGATACGAAGGTGGGACAGCAACCAATGTAGTCGATCTAGCACCAGAGGATTCTACTGATATCTTCCAATGGGATGTCGTGTGTGATGGCGATGAGGAAAGACTAGAAGACTGTACTGTGACCAAGAGAGACAATCCGACCTCATGCGCTCCTGAAAACATTGCTCAGGTCAGATGCGGGCCGAATAAAGGTAAAATATCATTCTCATCATCTTGATAATAATGACTATGGGTGTTCGGTTTACATGAAGCAGACCCTAAAACCAACAAATAGTCCTGTACGAGATCGAAACAAAAATATTCCCAACGCAACGTCAACGAGTAATTCCAAGCATCACAGAGTGACATTTATTTTTGAATATTTTTAACAGCTACTATACAGCAATTGATATCTGTAGACCGCGGGTAACTTAATGTAAACGAGAACTGTAATCATGCAATCCCGTATGTATATATATATATATATATCTGTAAAGCGCATTGAGAGGGCTTGCGGTCCTGATATGCGCTATAAAAGAATGAACTATTATTGCAATGACGAAGGTTCACATTCTGTCCCATTAATTGCATTTTCGGTCACATTCTGCCCCATTAATTGCAATGACGAACATCTTAATTGCCTTGTTTTCGTTCACATTCTGCCCCATTAATATTCTTCTTCTCCATGTTCTACTTGTTTTCGTCAGAAAGTTGCATTCGTTTTGCACGTAGTGCTAGTAATCACGGGTTATGCCCTTTCCTCATATTCGTTTCCTTTCAAATTTCATAGGTATAGTCTCTAGCTTCTCATCAAGGTCCCTACATTCTTCGATTTTCGAAATCACTCATGCATAACCTTCCAGGCGCTATTTGTCCGTTTCTGGTCCGTTTTGAGGCATTTCTTTCTTCCTTCCTATCTCCACTATCCTAGATCCTATAGAGTTCTAACAAATTCCTCTAAATAGTCCGAGGTATGTTCTTTTATCTGCGACGCATCGCAAATTCAAATCTGAAACCGACTCCGTCAAAATTCTCTAGAATTTTTGAAAAATGCCATAATCTAAAAATGCCATAACTTTCTCATACCATTTCCGTTTCGTCTCATTTTTTTTTGCAGTATCTTTATCTCGTAATTGCACAAAGCCTTTAACGGTCCAATAAAAATGCCAAAAATAATAGCGCCTTCTAAAGTTCTGGGAATTGGCTTTCTTTCTATGGCCGTATCTCCATCGTTTATGGCCAAATCCGTACCTTTTATTTGATTTAGATACTTGAAGATATGCCCTTTCCAGCCAAATACAAAATTATATACCCTAACGCTGACCAAATTTGAGAAAATTGCCCTCCAAATTCGCCATTTCCAAGAAAAATGCGAAATAACTTCAACTTGCTCTAAAATGACGATCCTTATACCTACGTCAATGAAACTTTGCATACACAAGTATTTAAACAATGACAACTTTCTGCTAAGTTTGGTAACATTTGATGATGTCAGCGCAAAATTATTGCCCAAAATGATGAATTTGTTATGCATTACGTAACAGCCCGTTAAATGTGTGGAATATATTGCACGCAGATGCCAATGGTGTCAAACTGACCGTAATGAAGGGTTGTTTCGAATGATATCAAACATGTTATATGTTATTACAGAAATATTTGATTAAATTGCGTTTGAACAAGGTTCACTATACAAATTATGCTGAGTTTCCGCCAAGTTATTAAAAGGACCGGCTATGACGTCATTTTTTAGACTGCTTTTCGTCCCCTTCCCGTCCTTTTTTTTTCCTTGAAATTTTGCAGTGATATTCCGAGATGCAATAACCAGTGCACATCGAAGCCGGATTTTTAAAAATTTTCAAGGGGGTCAATTAAGACGCCACTACTCTGCATTATTGTGTTAGTATGGGCGGATGTTTGCGCCACAGCACGCGTCACCGCATGTTCACCCTGCACCAAATCCCATTGGTTTTACGAAATCACTCATGCATAACCGTCCAGGCGCCATTTTGTCCGTTTCTGGTCCATTTTAAGGCCTTTCTTTCTTCCTTCCTATCTTCACTATCACGGAAGCTACCCACTTCGTACAAATTGCTCTGGACAGTCCGAGAGAAGTTCTTTCGTTTGAACCGTAGAAACATGTGCGTCAACGTACGCACATTGTTGTGACACGATTGCATGTCTATCTATTATTATTGATATTGTGCCAATGATTATTAATGTTGTTGTTGTGATTTTTGTTATGTATATTATGCAATAATACAAAATAATCCACTTAATGCAATTTTTTTAAACAAGATGGGGACTTGCGGATGACTGGAAGTGAGTTTTCAGAGCAAGGACGGGTGGAAACCTACACGGACGGAGAATGGGTCAGATTTTGGGTGATTCCTACCGCATTCGCGAACAATCCTATCTATGACAGGCTTTGTAAAGCCATAGGGTATGATGAAGCGTTGTATTTTTACAATGGAGCAGCGCAGATGCCTTTCCAAGAAGCTTCACAGGATGCAGGGGTCTTGTGTCAGCTTCAACCCTTAGACAACAGCTTCCGGTGTCGTGCCCTAGCTGATACGACTGGAATTGGTTCTAGTTACGAGACAGGCATCGTGTGTAAGCCCTTTGGTAAGTCTGATGTCTGCCATAGGTTTCTCTTTGTTTTACCTCACTGCCAAGGGCACTTGCTTAAATCCAGGGTTATATATACACATCCCTCTACGTTTGGGTAAGGGGTAGCTTGTCAAAATATACCTTACTTGTCTAGGGTACAAAATCAACCTGTCAGCAGAAGCCCCCAATTTCTTTTTCAAGGGAGAGATGTGAAACGGCAGGGATTTTCTTTTTAATAACTGTTTTTTTTTTTTTTTTTAAATCTTCATATAACATCTTAAATGGCGTGACTTATGCCGAGATTACATTTGCCCCGGGCGACGTAAGATAAATTCGTTTACGATTTTTCGTGCGATTTTTCGGGCATCGTATGAGGTTATGGGCTATGATGTTTGTGTTAACATGATCTACGAGCAACAGGCCATTTCTTGTATTCGCCCTAGGGGCAAGCCGGGGCTAATCTGTACAGAGGCTGATTAAAAATCGTACGGAGCCCGTGCAGCTTCCGTGCAGAGGTTGCGGGGAAACGACGCGGTGACCGCTACAAACAAGAACATGCGTTTGATGCACGATCAGCGCCGGGCCTCCGTGCGATGTCCTTGCGGGATTTTGAAATGCCACCTACGACATGTCTACGGGCTACGGGCTTACGATTCAATAAATTTGTATAACTTCTCGTGAAACAAAATCGTTGAGGTCATGCACGGAGCCCGTGAATCTGTACGAAAATCTCAATGCCGCCTCCAGCCTTCGCACGGAGGCCGCACGGAAAAAGGGATACGGGCAGGATACGAGCTCCGTAGACTTATCGCAGGCCAAATTTTGCCTACATCACATTTCCTCTACGGCTAGGATACGGCGACTCTCGCCCCCGAAATCGAGAGATACTTGCGTCGGCCTCAGGGTAATAAATAATAATAATATTTAATTTTTATATAGCACTTAATACAAATGTCTCTAAGCGCTTTACAAATATATTAGGTAGGGCGTATCCCTATTTCTACCGGCCGCCGGGTCGACGTGGGATTCTAACTTCTTTCATTTCTAGGTTCGCCCTATCAATAGACAATTAGACACACCGTAGCCATGCCGTAGATCTGTTTCACGGCGACTATACGTTTGGCGTACGGTGGCCCTGCGACTATCTTGCGTCCGCCTTGGTATTTCTCAAAAACATACGCCCGCCGCAGGGACTCCCGAGTGTGACAGTGCGTCACCACTTCAAGGGGCGTGCGGCAGCCGCAGGCTTTCTGTCTCCACAAATTCAAAATACGGCTTGTGGCTACCCTAACATTTCTGACTGCTAATGCCTGGATTACATTTGCCCCAGGCGCCGTACGATAACTTGGTCTTAGATTTTCCGTGCGATTTTTGGGGCATCGTAGGAGGTTATGGGCTACGAGGTTTGTGTTTACATTATCTACGAGTATCGTGCCATTTTTTGTATTGGCCCTTGGTGGCAGGCCGGGGCAAATCTGTACAGAGGCTGATCAAAATCGTACGGAGCCCGTGAAGCTGCCGTGCAGAGGTTGCGGGGAGAAGGCGCGGTGACCGAGCAGCCGCCGTGCCATTTTTTTGCGTTTGCCCCCCCCCCCCCCCCCCCCAAAAAAAAAAAAAAAAAATAGATAAATAAATAAATAAATAAATAAATCAATAAATCAATCAATAAAAAAAATAAAAAATAAAAAAAGAATAGTAATAATAATAATAAGATCTTGCGTTTGCATTCAGGTTGGATATGCAGGCGCCAGGCCTCCTTGCGATGCCCATGGCGGGATTGTGAAATACCACCTACGTCATGTTTACGGGCTACGGGCTTACAATTTTTAGAATTTGTATAACTTCTCGTGAAACAAGCAAATGCATAATGGCAGCAAGGATACGGGCTCCGTATAGAATAATCTCAGGCCAAATGTAATCCAGGCATAACGTATGTTACTGTTGGATTGCTGCGGCGGCCCTATAATTGATGTTGGCCGTAAATATTTAAGGACCAATGGCTTCCGCGGCAAATGTGACCTAGGCATTATCAAGGAGTTGCTGGTACCTCCTTTTTTTAAATTTTAATACGCATAATGATGATGTAATGGGTTTAATGGGTTCTAGCGAATTTACTGTTTACTGTTCAGAAAATTGTTATTTACATTTCTTATTTTTTATCACAAGACGAAGAATAAGATTCTGGGACTTCTTTCTTTTTTCTGTTTCGTGTATAGACATTGTGGCATACCATCCAATAAGATTGGTCGACATTAACACAAACGAGATCAACAACCAGTCAGGACGTGTAGAGATCTACCATGACGGCCAATGGGGAAACATTTGCGAGAATTCCGGTCATTCTGAAGTACGTACACGTGGCAAGCGCGTTGCCGTTACTTCATATTCATAGGTGTAGCACATGATCGTTAGCAGAGACGAAAAATGACGCCTAATTTTGCAGATTTTCAAGAACATTTTACGCCAATCGTGACCCGTTCGACTTGAACGCGAGTATAAAGTATTGTTTCCCACACATTTACAAAAACTATCTTACTAGTATTTTCGCAAAAGTTTTTAAGTACGCTTTCACATGTTTGCGACATCGTAAGTAAATGACTTTTTTCAAATCAAATTCTTGCTCTTTCAAAACATACCACTTTTTATGCTAACAATATAGCATAATCCTACGCCTATGGTTTTTTTCTCCAACATTCCCGAAACACCCCCTTTTAATGCGAAATGTCCAACGATCATGCGTACACAAGACAATATGAAGTGACACCATAGACACCACGATGACATTAAAGCTTTCTTATACAACACATGGATTGTATTTTGCTGTTGAATTCACCGACGCACCATGTTTTACACAAGCAAGAAGCAAATTGTAAAGACTCACCGAGTTGCTCTGTTTTAGAAAACTTTTAACAACCCGCCAAGCCGTCTTATTTTTGGAACGAGGGGTGAGTTATTATACCGCACCGAAGCGCCTTGTTAAAGAAAGGAAGGCGAGAAGGCGCATTTTTTTTTTTTAAATCATGGCTTTTCATATCATGGTGGCCCTTTAGATGCCTATTTGTACCTGACCCACCCCCCCCCCCCCCTCGATTTTTACTTTTTCTTCTATTCGACAACCCTAATATTTTCCTAATTCTCTTTGTGTGCGTGGGTAGCTTGTATGTTCCGACCTTGGTTATACGGACACGACGAATGCTACTAGTCTTGATACACAGACGGTTGATGATGGGACAATGACCTGGTTCAGCACATCAATCCTTTTCTCGTGTAACACCGTATTTGGATGTCAACACACAGCGTGGGGGATCCCCAAAGTGATTGCGATCCAATGGCAGTTCGTTGTGCACCCGGAAGAGGTAAGAGGGCAGGCGCGGATCCAGGATTTCTTAGGGGGGCCCACATTTGAAATTATGAGAGCCAAATATTGGTACGTAATGGTGACCAGCAGTGACGTAATGTGAGGGGGTGGGTGCAGGGAGGGGCGAGCTTCCCCCTCCCTCCGCAAAACGCGGAATAGTAGGAGACCAGCCTGTAGGTCCCGTGACCAATCTCTGGGAACAAAGGTTTGAAAGTGTTTTTGTGTTCCCTGATGAATACCGAACCATTTTGACTTGGGCTGCCCCCTTGAAAATCCCGGGCATTTTCGTGAGGGTTCAACAAAGGTCATACAGGGTAGAAACTAAAATATATTTCAATCGTGTCGATATGCATATCAAATTACTCGTCTGGTCATGAGGATTCCAAAAATGTATAGTTTGCTATACCTCCGACCTTAAATAAGGGCGCTATGGTAAAAAAAACGTTGAAAGGTCAACACACTCTTGACCGGTAGTCAAATTCACCAACACAGTGAACTTGATTAAATTGCATATCAAATTACTCGTCTGGTCATAAGGATTCCAAAAATGTATAGGTTGTTATACCTCCGACCTTAAATGAGGGCGCTATGGTCAAAAAAGTCAATGCACTTTAGAAATTCACCAACACAGTTAACATTGTCCGATTCTAATGATTTAAGCGTCTAATAATTTAACTTTACAACTTTCAAAAGTAAAATTGCTTACCTTGACCATGTACATTCAAAATGGCTGCCGTTTCGGTGACAAACATCTAACAACTTCTTATTCATGGGTTTGAGGAAAATTTCAAGGTTATGGCAACCACTTTTGATTTTAAGAGTTGCTTTAATAGTTGAATTTGTTATGTCAGAAAACATATTATTAGACACTAAAATCATTAGAATCGGACAATGTTAACTATGTAGGTGAATTTCTATTTCATTAAATCATTAGAGAAAGAAGACGATTCGTTGTACAGTTCTCGACTCTTAATCCTCGTCTGAATTCATTTTTCCCCCTACCGCGCGAAGCGCGCAAGATTTTACGATTCATTAAATCATTAGAGAAAGAAGACGATTCGTTGTACCGTGCTCGACACTTAATCCTTGTCTAAATTCAGTGTCCCCCCCCCCCCCGAAATCCTGCGCGAATCGCGCAAGATTTTACGACTCATTAAATCATTAGAGAAAGAAGACGATTTGTTGTACCGTGCTCGACACTTAATCCTTGTCTAAATTCAGTCCTACCCCCCCCCCCCCGAAGTCCTGCGCGAAGCGCGGAAGCTTTGACGTTTCATTAAACCATTAGAGGAAAAAGACGATTAGTTGTACCGTGCTCGACACTTAATCCTTGTCTAAATTCAGCCCCCCCCCCCCCCCGAAGTCCTGCGCGAATCGCGGAAGCTTTTACGATTCATTAAATCATTAGAGAAAGAAGACGATTCGTTGTACTGTGCTCGACTCTTAATCCTTGTCTAAATTCAGTCCCCCCCCCCCCCCCGAAGTCCTGCGCGAAGCGCGGAAGCTCTGGCGTTTCATTTAATTATTAGAGAAAGAAGACGATTCGTTTTACCGTTCTCGAAAATAATCCTCGTCTAAATTTAGTTCACCCCGCGCGGAAGCTTTTACGTTTCATTAAACCATTAGAGAAAGAAGACGATTCGTTGTACAATTCTCGAAAATAATCCCCGTCTGAATTCATTTTTCCCCCTACCGCGCGAAGCGCGCAAGATTTTACGAATCATTAAATCATTAGAGAAAGAAGACGATTCGTTGTACCGTTCTCTAAAATAATCCTTGTCTGAATTCAGGTTCCCCCTTTTAAGCTTTTAATTTACATAAAATCATTAGAAAAAGAAGACGATTCGTTGTACCGTTCTCGAAAATAATCCTCGTCTAAATTTAGTTCACCCCGCGCAGAAGCTTTAACGTTTCATTAAACCATTACAGAAAGAAGACGATTCGTTGTACCGTTCTCGAAAATAATCCCCGTCTGAATTCATTTTTCCCCCTACCGCGCGAAGCGCGCAAGATTTTACGATTCATTAAATCATTAGAGAAAGAAGACGATTCGTTGTACAGTTCTCGACTCTTAATCCTCGTCTGAATTCATTTTTCCCCCTACCGCGCGAAGCACGCAAGATTTTACGATTCATTAAATCATTAGAGAAAGAAGACGATTCGTTGTACCGTGCTCGACACTTAATCCTTGTCTAAATTCAGTGTCCCCCCCCCCCCCCCACCCCCGAAATCCTGCGCGAAGCGCGGAAGCTTTGGCGTTTCATTTAATTATTAGAGAAAGAAGACGATTCGTTTTACCGTTCTCGAAAATAATCCTCGTCTAAATTTAGTTCACCCCGCGCGGAAGCTTTTACGTTTCATTAAACCATTAGAGAAAGAAGACGATTCGTTGTACAGTTCTCGAAAATAATCCTCGTCTAAATTTAGTTCACCCCGCGCGGAAGCTTTTACGATTCATTAAATCATTAGAGAAAGAAGACGATTCGTTGTACCGTGCTCGACACTTAATCCTTGTCTAAATTCAGTCCCCCCCCCCCCCCCGAAATCCTGCGCGAATCGCGCAAGATTTTACGACTCATTAAATCATTAGAGAAACAAGACGATTCGTTGTACCGTTCTCTAAAATAACCCTTGTCTGAATTCAGGTTCCCCCTTTTAAGCTTTTAAGTTTCATAAAATCATTAGAAAAAGAAGACGATTCGTTGTACCGTTCTTGAAAATAATCCTCGTCTAAATTTAGTTCACCCCGCGCGGAAGCTTTTACGTTTCATTAAACCATTAGAGAAAGAAGACGATTCGTTGTACAGTTCTCGAAAATAATCCCCGTCTGAATTCATTTTTCCCCCTACCGCGCGAAGCGCGCAAGATTTTACGATTCATTAAATCATTAGAGAAAGAAGAGGATTCGTTGTACAGTTCTCGACTCTTAATCTTAGTCTGGATTCAGGTTCCCCTACCGCGCGAAGAGCGGAAGCTTCTAAGTTTCATTAAATCATTAGGGAAAGAAGACCATTCGTTGTACCATTCTCGAAAATGATCCTCGTCTAAATTTAGTTCCCGCGCAAAGCGCGGAAGTTTTTTACGATTCACTAAATCATTAGAGAAACAAGACGATTCGTTGTACCGTTCTCTAAAATAACCCTTGTCTGAATTCAGGTTCCCCCTTTTAAGCTTTTAAGTTTCATAAAATCATTAGAAAAAGAAGACGATTCGTTGTACCGTTCTCGAAAATAATCCTCGTCTAAATTTAGTTCACCCCGCACGGAAGCTTTTACGTTTCATTAAACCATTAGAGGAAAAAGACGATTAGTTGAACCGTGCTCGACACTTAATCCTTGTCTAAATTCAGCCCCCCCCCCCCCGAAGTCCTGTGCGAATCGCGGAAGCTTTTACGATTCATTAAATCATTAGAGAAAGAAGACGATTCGTTGTACTGTGCTCGACTCTTAATCCTTGTCTAAATTCAGTGTCCCCCCCCCCCCCCACCCCGAAATCCTGCGCGAAGCGCGGAAGCTTTGGCGTTTCATTTAATTATTAGAGAAAGAAGACGATTCGTTTTACCGTTCTCGAAAATAATCCTCGTCTAAATTTAGTTCACCCCGCGCGGAAGCTTTTACGTTTCATTAAACCATTAGAGAAAGAAGACGATTCGTTGTACAATTCTCGAAAATAATCCCCGTCTGAATTCATTTTTTCCCCTACCGCGCGAAGCGCGCAAGATTTTACGAATCATTAAATCATGAGAGAAAGAAGACGATTCGTTGTACCGTTCTCTAAAATAATCCTTGTCTGAATTCAGGTTCCCCCTTTTAAGCTTTTAAGTTACATAAAATCATTAGAAAAAGAAGACGATTCGTTGAACCGTTCTCGAAAATAATCCTCGTCTAAATTTAGTTCACCCCGCGCGGAAGCTTTAACGTTTCATTAAACCATTACAGAAAGAAGACAATTCGTTGTACCGTTCTCGAAAATAATCCCCGTCTGAATTCATTTTTCCCCCTACCGCGCGAAGCGCGCAAGATTTTACGATTCATTAAATCATTAGAGAAAGAAGACGATTCGTTGTACAGTTCTCGACTCTTAATCCTCGTCTGAATTCATTTTTCCCCCTACCGCGCGAAGCGCGCAAGATTTTACGATTCATTGAATCATTAGAGAAAGAAGACGATTCGTTGTACCGTGCTCGACACTTAATCCTTGTCTAAATTCAGTCCCCCCCCCCCCCCGAAATCCTGCGCGAATCGCGCAAGATTTTACGACTCATTAAATCATTAGAGAAAGAAGACGATTCGTTGTACCGTGCTCGACACTTAATCCTTGTCTAAATTCAGTCCTCCCCCCCCCCGAAGTCCTGCGCGAAGCGCGGAAGCTTTGACGTTTCATTAAATTATTAGAGAAAGAAGACGATTAGCTATACCGATCTCGACTCCTAATCCTTGTCCTAATATTCAGTCCCCCACCCCCTCCCGCTCGAAGCGCGGAAGCTTTTCACGTTCCATTAAATCATTAGAGAAAGAACATGATTCGTATTTCCGTTCTCGACTCTGTATTCTTTCCCCCCCCCCCCCCTACCCGGAAGTTTTGACGTTTCATAAGATTATAAGAGAAAGAAGACCATTCGTTGTACCATTCTCGAAAATGATCCTCGTCTAAATTTAGTTCCCGCGCAAAGCGCGGAAGTTTTTTACGATTCACTAAATCATTAGAGAAACAAGACGATTCGTTGTACTTTTCTCTAAAATAACCCTTGTCTGAATTCAGGTTCCCCCTTTTAAGCTTTTAAGTTTCATAAAATCATTAGAAAAAGAAGACGATTCGTTGTACCGTTCTCGAAAATAATCCTCGTCTAAATTTAGTTCACCCCGCACGGAAGCTTTTACGTTTCATTAAACCATTAGAGAAAGAAGACGATTAGTTGTACCGTGCTCGACACTTAATCCTTGTCTAAATTCAGCCCCCCCCCCCCCCGAAGTCCTGCGCGAATCGCGGAAGCTTTTACGATTCATTAAATCATTAGAGAAAGAAGACGATTCGTTGTACTGTGCTCGACTCTTAATCCTTGTCTAAATTCAGTCCCCCCCCCCCCCCCGAAGTCATGCGCGAAGCGCGGAAGCTTTGGCGTTTCATTTAATTATTAGAGAAAGAAGACGATTCGTTTTACCGTTCTCGAAAATAATCCTCGTCTAAATTTAGTTCACCCCGCGCGGAAGCTTTTACGTTTCATTAAATCATTAGAGAAAGAAGACGATTCGTTGTACAATTCTCGAAAATAATCCCCGTCTGAATTCATTTTTTCCCGTACCGCGCGAAGGGCGCAAGATTTTACGAATCATTAAATCATTAGAGAAAGAAGACGATTCGTTGTACCGTTCTCTAAAATAATCCTTGTCTGAATTCAGGTTCCCCCTTTTAAGCTTTTAAGTTACATAAAATCATTAGAAAAAGAAGACGATTCGTTGAACCGTTCTCGAAAATAATCCTCGTCTAAATTTAGTTCACCCCGCGCGGAAGCTTTAACGTTTCATTAAACCATTACAGAAAGAAGACAATTCGTTGTACCGTTCTCGAAAATAATCCCCGTCTGAATTCATTTTTCCCCCTACCGCGCGAAGCGCGCAAGATTTTACGATTCATTAAATCATTAGAGAAAGAAGACGATTCGTTGTACAGTTCTCGACTCTTAATCCTCGTCTGAATTCATTTTTCCCCCTACCGCGCGAAGCGCGCAAGATTTTACGATTCATTAAATCATTAGAGAAAGAAGACGATTCGTTGTACCGTGCTCGACACTTAATCCTTGTCTAAATTCAGTGTCCCCCCCCCCCCCCCCGAAATCCTGCGCGAATCGCGCAAGATTTTACGACTCATTAAATCATTAGAGAAAGAAGACGATTTGTTGTACCGTGCTCGACACTTAATCCTTGTCTAAATTCAGTCCTACCCCCCCCCCCGAAGTCCTGCGCGAAGCGCGGAAGCTTTGACGTTTCATTAAATTATTAGAGAAAGAAGACGATTAGCTATACCGATCTCGACTCTTAATCCTTGTTCTAATATTCAGTCCCCCACCCCCTCCCGCTCGAAGCGCGGAAGCTTTTCATGTTCCATTAAATCATTAGAGAAAGAACATGATTCGTATTTCCGTTCTCGACTCTGTATTCTGTTCCCCCCCCCCCTACCCCGGAAGTTTTGACGTTTCATAAGATTATAAGAGAAAGCAGACGATTCGCTGTACCGTTCTCGACTCTTAATCCTTGTCTGATTATCAGAAATATCGAACTTCGTAAACGTTATTGTTACTACCATGCGAACAATTTGATTTTGTGTCTTATTACGATTAATCTACTATTTTCCTTTTTTTTCAAATGTTTTTTTCAAATCAGCTTCATCTCTGGAGGGTTTGGCATTATCCCTCATCATCGTGGTGGTCGTTCTCACGGTCGATCTCGGATTCGTCAATCTCTAAAGACTACAAGAAAATCTTAGATCTAAATGAGCGTCATTCCGGTGGCTACATGTTGTTTTCCCGAAGTTTCATGATTTCGAAGGTCCGTGATTCCGGAAGTACTTTCCTGCAAAGGGTCAAGATTACGAAAATTATAGGTATTACAAAGTTTTGGGAAATTTTGAAAATTGGGTGGATAGTGATTCTTTACATTTTTGATATATTTGGATGGTATTATAAGCACTAGACAGTTGAGCCCCTAAAGCAATTATGCTTTCGAGAAAAATTGAATGTAGAAATTTACCGGTGCTCCCGGTCATTTTTGTAAATTTCAAATAGCGCCTACGGCCGTACAATAGTAGCTGCGACAATGAAAATCCCAGAATATGTAGTTGTGATATATAATTCCCAGGCGGTAAAAGCGATTGGTCGATTTCAGTAAAGAAAAATTGTTTTATAGCTTAAACAATATCTTGACCTTAAGAGGGAGCTATACAACATAAAGAGTGTATTATCTACAATTTCATAACTTTAGACTCAATTTCAACCGCGACAACGATCAATGTGTATTGTAGGATCGCATATGCAGAGCGCATATGCTTCCAATATGTTTATTTGAACCAAATTCATGACCCCATACCACAACTTTGTATTACCTTTTAGAAGAGATTTTAATTCCGAAAATGAAATGGATTTCGTAATTCTGGATATAATATTTATTTGGTAAACATTTTATAATTCCAGAAATGAGAAAGGGTTCATAATTCCGAAATTTAAATAGAGCCTGGTTGTATGTTTCCGGAATCAATGGTTTTAATTTCAATTAATTGGAAAGCAGTTTTTTTTAATGAATGTACCTCCCCTCTTTTTTAAAAAACTTGAATAAATAAATAATAATAATAATAATAAATTATTTTTCTAAATTACGTACCTTTGAAATGTTGAAACTTCGAAGCAATGAATGAAATGTTCAAAATTATGATTTATATTCAATTGTTCGAGTTATAAACCCGTGGTTTTGGGAGTTTTGTGTCTCAGAATTATGAACTTTTGGAAAACTAAAGCTTCGTAAAAAACGACTTTCCACATACCGGTATAGTTGAAATTTAAATGCACCTTCGGGAAACCAATATGAAGAAAGGACGATCAGTTTACAACCATCAATCACATTTTGATAAGCTAATGAAGTGTAGGACAAAGCCCCTAGATCAAGAAATCACGAATAAATCCGACTTACTTCGTTCAATCGGTTCTTTGCGTCAGGTCGGGTTGCCAATTAGTCGTACATGATTTTTTTTTGAAAAATTATTCTCATACTCACGAAAGATCGGTTGTGTCACTTTGTTGAGTTGCAGGATTTTTGTAAAAAGTTCCCCCACGTTCACGAAAGGTACGGTAAATTAAATGCATATAATCACTTTTTTGAGCTACCAAATGTTCCTTGAGATTAATTTAAGACTAATCTTTGGAAATATACATTCGTAAAAATAAATGCCTTTACAATCGGACAATGATGAAGTGTCCGCCGTTTTTCTACCTCTTGTAATTATTTGACGAAACCTACGATCAAACAACGTACTATTCCTAATATTTTATTGAATGTCAATACGTGAATTCTGATGCGATTACATGTACATTGAAATTGAATAAATACGTAGAGGATATAGAGGTGAGGGCGGGCAAAAGTCATACTTTTAAACATTGCAAGGATAAGGAATGACTTTGTTAACGTAATGTTTTTATAATTTCTTTATATATTTAAAGTCTCTGGGGGATATTGTAAAAGTGTAATGCCTCTTATTTATGTAAATTGGTTGATATGTGACTACATATATTTCATTGTTGAAGTAAGCTTCATTTTGTATGCCTATAATTTAAGAGTGTCTTCCTTGTAGTGCAACATGAAGTTAGTTTGTATACGTATACCATTTATAATTGTATTGTAATTTGTAACTGACTGATGCATTAAGAAATAAAGGGATGTAACAATGTGCAGGCCTTCAGCAAGAGCTCAAAATTAATATGACCTAACGTTTTATTCATCTCAAATTTCATCAGAAGTCTCTTCTCCTTTCTAAGAATTCTCCGAAAAGTTGTGTTCGTTGTCAGTGTAGTGAGGTAGAATGGAATTAGAAAGGCATGCCTGAGGGATATACGCGCGTGTGTGTGAGAGAGTGTGTGTGTGTGTGCGTGTGTGCGTGTGTGTATGTGGTGGTGTGTGCGAGCGTGTGTGCGTGTATGTGTGTGCGATCGTGTGTGCGTGTATGTGTGTGGGCGTGTAAAAAAAGAGTTATAAAGGGGAAGGGGTTCCGTTAATTACATAATTTGTTGTTAATTGCATGCAATATTTAAGTGCTTAACATCTGCACGAGTAGATAACGATAAGCTTTGAGAAGCAAATGAATATAAGCGTAATATGTCCATGGTAAAACCCAATGTGAAAAGTCAGACCTTAATGATGCAGTTTCCGGGCAACTCTTGATTTTTTTCTTCAAATAACTAGGGTCACTAGGGTCACAAGCTTTTAACGACGCCTCTCTCATATTTCTCACTCTGACTTTTGATTACATCAGTAGATTGACGGCGATGCAAGGAAGATTATCGTCATAATATAATGAGTTAGACAACTCCATGAATTTCAATTATGTTTGCGGCGGGTGTCTCATATTTAATGAAATACCAACCCCCCCCCCCCAAAAAAAAAAAAAAATATATATATATATATGTATATATATATTACAACCTTATGTTCTTTTTTTCCTCATCATTTTGTAGGGTCTTTTATGCCAAAGGAATTTCTCTCAGTTTATACGTCTAGCCATTCAGACCTTCACCTTTTATTCTCGAGCTCACTTGTAAATCAATTGATACAGTATTCTTCAGACTCGGACTGTTGATCTTATCAAGACTTTCCTTTGGTTTGGGTCAGGGAGGCACACGTCCCGCCTCAATTTGTTTAGGGGGATCGTCCTCCCCCCCCCCCAGAAAATTTGAAGAAGTGCATACACAAAATGTACAGCAAAGACTGACTAAAGTCTACAACACACTATTAGGCTAGAGAAGGCCCAAGAGTGTACCGTTTAGACTAAATCAATCTTCTCGCTCGGTCGCTACGCTCCCTCGCATAATATCCTTCAAAATGTACAAGTAAATATTCTAAAAAATCTGTATTTTATTGGTTTAACCGTGATACCAACGGGATACAAATTTTCCCTCGCACTTCGCCCCCCCCCCTCCCCTCAGTCATGAAAAGAAATCGCCGCCCCTTGTTGGGTTTATCTTTAGATTTGTCCGGGTCGTCTTATTTTCCAATCCAGATATTGAAGTGGTTCATTCTGGTACTTGTTACAATGTTCGGAACAATCCTGAATATTCTTGTTATTTCTGTAACATCCGGTCCCCTTTCTAATAGATTTATTTCAAATTTCAAATTTCAATTTCAATTATATTTATTTATCATCCAAAAATGTAAAACACATAATCGTAAATACATAATAGATGAATTAAAGGATACCTTCAAATAAAAAAAAAGGCTTTTAAAGAAGAAGACATCTGAACATGATTTAAATGAAAGTTATAATAAAGGCAATACAATTCAAATGTAAATATTTAATAACCTATACAGACACAACGCCCTTTCCCCTTTCAGCAACACTAACAATTTATTTATGTTAAGTTCGTATTTGAAAATCTCCGCGCTAAGTCCCCTTTCTCTCCTTTTCTGGTGAAATATGAATGTTATGAATTTCATCATTATGCTGTATTATGCATTGCCACTCTGAGTCATCCCACCTCTTCTTTATTTTCCTTATTCTCTTTTTCTTTCCATACTGATCTTACACACCCTAATCTCTTATGTTTCTCTCCGCATGTACATTATGCATGTCTCTCCTCTCCTCTCCCCATACCTCTTTCTCCTCCTATACTATTCCCACTTACTTTTACCCGTTTTAATAGATCAGTTTCGTAATCACTTTTAATGCACTAATCTTTGTTATGTACCTCGGTAAAAACTATATATCACTCTTCATGCTTTTTTATTCCATTCTTTCTCAATACACTAACGAAAAACATACAACTTTTCGGAGAATTCTTGGACAGGAGGAGACATCTCTGATGACATTTTAGATGTATAAAACGTTAATTCTTATTAAATTAGAGCTCTTGTTGAAGGCCTTCACATTGTTTAAAATTAGATCCATTTATATCGTTATGCATACGTCAGTTACAATACAATTATAAATGATATAAGTATACAAACCAACTTCATTTTGCACTACAAGAAAGACACTCAAGCAATAAAATGAGAGGCCTACAAAAAATTACTTCGACAATTGAAAATTTTGTCGTTATATTTCAAACAATTTACATATTTAAGAGGCATTAAACGTTTAACTCTTTTAAAGATATAAACACATTATAAAAAAATTAAGTTTACAAAGTCATTCCGTATCTTTGAAATGTTTAAGAGTATATAGTGTATATTTGAAGGGATTATCCTTAAGTCAATCTCAAGGAGAATTTTTGAGAAGAAAACAAATGGGATAATTTGCAGTTAATTTTACCGGATCTTGTATGAATACCCGGCAGCCCGACTTGATGCGAAGACTCGATGAAACCACGTAAGCTGGATTTATTCGTGATTTCTGGATTTAGGGGCTTTATTCTATACTTCATTGGTGTATCAAAATGTGATTGATTCGAAAACTGATCGTCTTTTCCGTATATTGGTTTGAATTCCGGAAACAATACAACCGGGTTCTATTTTAATTTCGGAATTATGAACCCTTTCTCATTTATGGAATTCTGATTTTGTAAAATAAATATCATACATGCATTCGGAATTACAAATCATACTTCATTTTCGGAATCATTAACCTTCGCAGTAACGTATTACCGGAATTACGGACATAATTTGGAATCAGGAACCTTCGGGGAGACGACATGTAGCCACCGGAATGACGCTGATTTTGATCAAAGATTTTCTTGTAGTCCTTAGACATCAACGAATCCGACATCGACTGTAACAACGACCAACACGATGATGAGGGATAATGCCAAACCGTCCAAAGATGAAGCTGATAAACATTTGGAGAACAAAAAAGAAAATGTAAATTAATCATAACAAGAGACAAGGTTAGATAGTTTGCATAGTAGTAACACTAATTTGTACGAAGTATTCAAGCATTGATGTTCTTTGCAAGCTTGATATTTCTAATAACCATGTGACAGGTGACCGATCCATCTCAAAAGTCTATTTAAAGCGATACTAGACTTAAAAACTTTTTGCCCTAGCAAACTATTTATTGCACAGCGCCATCTCGTGATAAACTTGCCAACAGTGTGTAGCCCAAAATCTACTTCCCACATCCCTGTCAGAGGACTCGATGCGAGAACCAACAGCGCAGCTAATCTAGCCATCCTAGCGCTGCATTTGATTGGCTCGAAAGAAAGCTATATGTCATGCGCTAGTCATAACTATTCATAATACGCACGCGCACAGAATCTAATGCGATAATTTATCAAATAAGGAGATTTCGAATATAAAAATTACAAGTGCAAAGCTATGCTTACTTAAGATAAATGACACCGCGAGAAAAATCGGGAGGCTAACTATAAACGAATGACTATACACCCAGGTCTAAATTTGTCAATATTCATTGTAACATATATTGCATTATCTGGCCAATTTGATTATGAATTCTACCACACCGTATCAACGCAAATTTTCATATTCATATTCTTATATTCAAATATTCATATTCTTATATTCTTATATTCATATTCTTATATTCAAATATTCATATTCTTATTTTCAAATAATCATATTCTTATATTCATATTCAAATATTCATATTCAAATAATTATATTCAAATACAGGGCTAGGATGGCTAGGTTAGGCTTAGAAAAATACTGCTACAGCTGACCTGAGCCCGGGGGGGGGGGTACTCACATATTAAGACATAGGCCTACGGGGATGTGCCGCTTTTCCTTTTCACCCCCCCCCCCCCCCCAAAAAAAAAAAAAAACAAAAAAACAAAAAAAAACAAAACAAAACAAACAAAACAAAACAAACAAACAAAACAAAACAAAACAACAAAAAAACTTAAAAATAGGTCCGTTTGTTTAAGTTTCAAAAATGTTCGTGTCTTTTCATGGCAAACATAAAAAAATTGAGCTTTACCTCGAGAAAAAAAAATCCCCAAATTACCCTTAAAAATGGGTAGTGATTTCGAGACTTCAGCAGCACACCCCGTCCGAACCAAACCTGAGCTAGTTTTTCGGTAGTGTTTTCAGAACAGTATGGCGATATTTGGGCATCTTCTTCTTACCTCTCCCGCCGGTGTCCACAACGGGTTCCGTAACGGGGTCAACAACGGGGTCCACAACGAGATCCCGGGTTACACAACGAACTGCCATAGGATTACAATCACTAAGGGGATCCCCCCAGGCTGTGTGTTGACAGCCAAATACGGTGTTACACGTAGTATACAAGATTTGTGTGCTGAACCAGGTCATTGTCCCTTCGCCAACCGTCTGTGTATCAAGACTAGTAGCATCCGTCGTGTCCGTATAACCAAGTTCGGAACATACAAGCTGCACACGCACACAAAGAAAATTAGGAAATTACTAGAGTTGTTAAAAAGAAGAAAAAGGTAGAAACCGAGGAGGGTAGGGGGAGCAAGAACAAGTCAATAAACATCTAAAAGGCCAAAACACTGTCAAAAGTCATTCATTTTTGTGAATTTGATACGGAGTGAGGAAAGTATGGAATCTTAAATTTGCAGCAAGATGGCGACTAGTTAAAACCAATGCACCTTCCCGCCTTCCCATCTTTAAACAAGGCACCTCGACGCGTTTGCACAACTCGCCCCCTCGTTCAAAAAATAAGACGGCTTGTTGAGTTGTTAAAAGTTGTCTTGAACAAATTAAAGCAACTCCGCGAGTCTTTACGATTTGCTTCTCGCCTGTCTGAAACATGGTGCGTTGGTAAGTTCAACAAGACGCCTTCTCGCTGCAGTTTAAAATATCCGTAGTAAATTACGGGTAAAGTACTACAGCAAGCAAGAAAAGTACAACCCATATGTTGTATAGGAACGCTTTCATGTCATCGTGGTGTCGATGGTGTCACTTCATATTGTCTTTGATTACGCTTTATCGTTAGACATTTCCAAAAACACATAGGTCTAAAGACTGATGCTATTTTGTGGTATGTGTTTTGAAAGAGCAAGAATTGGATTGAAAAAAATCATATCTTTACGTTGCAATTATGTGAAAGCGTATTTAAAAACTTTTGTGAAATTACTAGTAGGGTGGTTTTGTAAATATATGTGGAAAATTAGTTAATTATTTAAAACCTAATTTTTTACTCGTATTCAAGTCAAAGGGGTCATAATCGTTTGGCGTAAAATGTTCTTGGAAATCTTTAAAATAAGTTGTCATTTTCGTTTCCGCTATCGATCATGTGCTACGCCTCTGAATATGAAGTTCGTCTACGCGCTTGTAATAGGGACTTCTAGATTTGCACGTCGACAGCTTTGACTGCAACGTGTGACGTCACTGTAAGGCACTGCGCATGCGTCACGTCGTCTCAGTCGGTGATCGAGAATGCGTCAACCTTGATTTTCCTAAATCTAGTACGGTACTAGTATGCCGTGTGCGCAAAAAATATGCAGTTCCTCAGGTAGACAAAGGAACATCCCTTTCCTGCTATTATGTAAAAATGTGTAGAATTACAGGTGTCACATGCACATTCACACGTTCTACACATTTGTACGTAATAGCAGTGAAGGGGTGTTCCTTTGTCTACAAAAGCAATTGTTGAGGGTAGAATGAGGAACCGTATATTTTGTCCTCTTTCTTTGCCCGTCATTTTAAAGTGTTACTTCCTGCATGCATGTATATCGTCAAGTGAAATCTAAAGGATTTCTAATTGTAGTCAACATGGGCAGTTGAATACGTTGACACGCATGATCAGTCGGCGTTCGTCGAGTTCTCGTCCATTCAAAACAAAAGTCCCTAATGTGTACGATGTACGTACTTCAGAATAACCTGCATCCGCGCAAATGTTTCCCCATTGGCCGTCATGGTAGATCTCTACACGTCCTGACTGGTTGTTGATCTCGTTTGTGTTAATGTCGACCAATCTTATCGGATGGTATGCCACAATGTCTGTAAACGCAAAAGAAAAGAGAAAGAAGCCCTATTATTCGTCTTGTGATAGAAAATAACAAATTTAAATAACAAGTTTCTGAACAGTAAACAGTAATTTCACTAGAACCCATTCAAATCATTTCATCATCATTATGCGTAAGACATACCACTTTGATATTATATGATGATTATTTTTTCTAAACAGAAATTAAAACGAAACTCCCTGCCGTTTTACAACTTTCCCTAGATAAAGAATTTTGGGGGCTTCTGGTAACAGACTGGTTGATTTTTGTACCCCGAGAAAAGTAAGTTATATTTTTACAAGCTACCCCGTACCCAAAAGTGGAGGGATGTGTATGTACCCCCCCCCCCCCTTCCCGGATTCGAAGAAGTGCCCTTGGCAGTGAGATAAAACAATGAAAAACCAAAGACAGACATCAGACGTACCACATGGCTTGCACAAAATGCCTGTCTCATAATTAGAACCACGTCTAGTCGTATCAGTCCAGACACTACACTGGAAGCTGCTGTCTAAGGGTTGAAGCTGACACAGGTACCCTGTATCCTGTGAACCTTCTTGGAAAGGCATCTGCGCTACTCCATTGTAATAATTCAACACTTCCTCATACCCCATGGCTTTACAAAGCCTGTCGTAGATAGGATTGTACACAAATGGGGTAGGAATCACCAAAAATCTGACCCATTCTCCGTTCTTGTAGGTTTCCACCCGTCCTTGCTCTGAGAACTCACTTCCAGTCATCCGCAAGTCCAAATCTTGTTTTAAAACAATAACAATTAAAAATATAACAATAATCACATCAACAACATTAATAATAAATATCATAATAATAATAATAATGAAAGTAACTATCATTACAACAGTATGGGTAATAATATAATGGGAGAAGTCTTGTGTAGCGCTCATGATTTGAATATTACCATCGGCTTTTTTTTAGCCATTACAACTAAAAGAATTCATTTCTGCTGGATATGAATTTAACTCACTTGGTTGGAGAGTGTCAAAGTGCTGCTCAGTGATTTGAAGCTCGTGGTTCATAGACCAGAGACTTATCCGGTGGACTACAGCGCCTCTACGCATACCATGATTATAATGATAAAAGTTCATTCTTTTATAGCGCATTTAAGGACCGCAGGCCCGGTCAATGCAGGGACGTGATAGAGAAGGACTGGAATCAAGCCGCTCTCTTTTGACCCCATGCTCCAAGCCGCCGAAAAGTTATGCGCTAATCTGCAACTGTTGACCAGGTGGTGAGATAAAAGAGCGCATGAAATTTTAGGAATTAGAATTCCTACATCAGAAAATGGTATCACTGCAACTGTTCGCTGTCCCTTCCAATGATTTGTCATCCATTGTTGAATGTGTAAAGAGTAGAACAAGCGAACACAAACTTGTGTACTTTCATCCTTTTTTAAACTTGAAAAATACAAAAAAAACACGCGAAAACACGCATTAGCAAACTTAATGTTATTGAAGATTGTAAACCATGGATCAAATAACGGGACATTAAAGCATGCACAAATTAGCGCATCATCCTAAAATATTGAGTTTTTGACAGGATGTAATTTTTCTTTTACCAACTCTGGAACACAAATTAAAGGAAGGACGGAGTTTTAAATTTGAAAATTTGTTTGATGCACTATTCCCAATAAAATCCCCATAAAAAGTTTTTGATTTACACTGAAATTTTGCCGGTAATTTAATATTTTGTAATAAATGTAAAACTGGTGCCTGGCTTCCGAAAGTCCCCGCAGTGGAAGCGCGGTTCGGAGCATGGAACTTCAAAGCCAAGTGGAATGTTACACATCCCATTGTTACGCTTTAGAACTCAAGAATGCGTTTGAATAAATTACAAGAGTTTCGCCTCCTTTTCTTTCACCTCCCTGGTCAATGTGATAGCTGTACAGATACATATGGTGTTGCATACCCGCGGTTTACAGATATCGATTGCTGTATAGCTGTTAGAAATAAACAATAATAAATGTCACTCTGTGGCGCTTGGAATTTGCGTTTGCGTTGCGTTGGGAATATTTTTGGTTCGATCTCGTACAGGACTATTGTGTTGGTTGTATGATGGTCTGCTTCATGTAAACCGGACACCCATAAATAGTTCAGTCATTATTATCGAGATTTAATTTAATTTATTTATAATCTTTTGTCAGGGAAGTAGTGGTCTTCCTTGGGGCTCTGAATAAACATGAACATATTTAAATCAAAAAGCATAACGTTTATACAGAACAGTTCAAAAAAATCCATAGTACGATTAGAAAGATATGACACAGCAAAAATAGACGTGGCAAAATTAATACTCGTTTGCAAAAAAAAAATATATCATTAACCTAGTTCAACGGTAACGTCAATAGAAAAATATTTATTAAGTCGAAAATGTTAAAGAACATGCACGTAGTGTATGTTTGGCTTATCCATTTACAAATTACAACCTTGTTTAAACAATCTTTTAAATTAATTTACAGAGCAAACCGTTCTCATCGAATTAAACGTACAGTAATATATAATATATATGATAATAGTACAGTAATATATAATATACTATACCTCGTGAAATACGTAAATTGAAACACTTTTTAACGTAAATACAAAAAATATTTGATGGACCTATAGTGGTATTATTTTTTACATGTAATTGTTATTAGTTTTACTTGTTATTATAGCTAAAATTAAATCATAAGACTTTTTATATTTGATTATTTGGTCAGCCGCATAATATATGGACCACCTCTTTCCTGGCTGCTACCAGCCTTAGCAATTTCCCTTGTATTATTCATGTTTGTAGTTGCCTTGTATGATGGTCATGTACATCCAGGCGCGGATCCAGGGGGGCGAGGGGGCCTTGGCCCACCCCCCCCCCCCCCCCCGGCAAAAAAAAAGAGATAGAGAGAAGGAAAAGTAGAAGAGGGAAAGAGGAGAGAAAGGGAGAAAAAAGAAGAGGAAGAAGAAAAGAAAAGAGGGAAGAAGGAGATCGGGGGCAAAAGGACTTGCCTCCCAGGCTGTTGCCTTCAAGTCTCCCCCCCCCCCCACACTTTTTTTTTAAAAGTATATTAAAGAGAAATAGAAAGAAAGAGAGCGAGAAAGACAAAATAGTTAATTGACGGTCATTTAATGCCAAAAAACCCTGATTTCTGGGGGCTCTGCCCCCTGGACCCCACGCCAAATAGTGTCCTGTCAGTGTCACAAATAATAAGGTATCAAAAATGCTCATCTGACCGTAATTAAACGCCTAAAACCCCTAGGCTTCCGGGGGCTCTGCCCCCTGGACACAACCAAGAGCCCTAAGACGGGCCCCTTGATACTCATCTGACCGTAATTGAGTGCCTAAAACCCTTGTGATTCCGGGGCTCCGCCCCCTGAACCCCAAGCCAATTAGTGACCTGCCACTGTAACAATTAGGTATCGAAATATTGCTCATCTGACTGTAATTAAAACCTTAAACACCTGGTCCAACCCCCCATTAATGCCGGCCAAAAAAAGAGAGGAGTGAAAAGGAACAGGACGTACGAAGAAAAGGGAATATACAAAAAACATTTTTGAAATTCAGACAAGGATTCAGAGTCGAGAACGGTACAACGAATCGTCTTCTTTCTCTAATGAATTAATTAAACGTCAAAGCTTCCGAGCTTCGCGCGGGGGACGGGAGGGGAAGCTGAATTCAGACGAGGATAATTTTCGAGAACGGTACAACGAATCTTCTTCTTTCTCTAATAATTAAATGAAACGTCTAAGCTTCCGCGCTTCGCGCGGGAGGGGGAAACTGAATCTAGACAAGGATTAAAAGTCGAGAACGGTACAACGAATCGTCTTCTTTCTCTAATGATTCAATGAAACGTAAAAGCTTTCGCGCTTCTCGCGGGATTGGGGAAACATAATTCAGACGAGGATTATTTTTGGGAATGGTACAACGAATCGTCTTCTTTCTCTGATAATGTATTGAAATGTCAAAGCTTCCGCGCTTTGCGGAGGAGGGAAGGGGGAAACTCGCCCCTCCCTGCACCCACCCACCCCTAATTACGTCACCACTGTTGGTCACCATTATGTACCAATATTTGGCTCGCAAAATTTCAAATTTGGGCCTCCCCCCTAAGAAATCCTGGATCCGCGCCTGTGTACATCATTATGATTGATTAAACCTACCCGAAGGCAGGTAAGAATGAGCGGGGGCGCACTGGGATATTGCTTTATGTAAACCCAACACCCATAAAAAAAAAATTGTCCTGTCATTATTATCAAGATGATGAGACTGATATATTACCTTTATTTGGTCCGCATCTGACTTGAGCAACGTTTTCAGGAGCGCACGAGGTCGAGGTGTCTCCCTTTGTCACAGTACAGTCTTCTAGTCTTTCCTCATCACCATCACACACAATATCCCATTGGAAGATATCAGTAGAATCCTCTGGTTCTAGATCGACTACTTTGGTTGCTGTACCACCTTCGTATCCTAGCATACGACATGTCACAGCGGCTTCCTTGTCAGTCCATGTTTGATCACAAATCAAGGCACGTCGACCCTCCACTCGGTAATACACCACGCCCTCATAGGAACCTGCACCGCTTACAAAGTCAATCAATGAGTCGTCGTTTGCTAGACAGGACAGAAGGAACGAGATTGAAACAAAAGATGATAACTTCAGGGCACTCTTGCATAGAAATGTATATTTCAAACACAACTAATTATGTTTTTTCATAAAAATTTAAACGATAAGTACGAATAAGTGATTCTGATATTCTTACCTGAAATAGTTAGAAAGTTTCATAAAGACATTAGGTAGGTAATTGGCCTGAAGGAACACAGACCTACCTCAAATACACCTGCCTTTAACATATAGGCTAGTTTAGATATGAGATGATAAACCGCGAAGTTCTTTTTTCCCTCTTTTTCATGCCGACATATTTAATTGTGTATCCTTCACCTTTTATAAGGCATTTGTTTCCTGCATTTTCAAAAATTAAGTTACATGACTTGTCATCACACAGCGGATGTTTATTTTTCACGCGGTGATTCACCGCGTCATATCTGAGCGAGCCTTTGAAAACGTTACCACACCACGCTCACCAAAACATTCGACGCCAGCGTCTTGAGTGTGATCGCAGTCCGATCGCGATTCTGGGACCAACTCACTCCGACAATCGCTAAAACTGTCTTCATCTCCAGTGCAGTGTACGCCGTCGAATATCTGTAGGGTACCCCCTCCTCCGATGGTTAAGAATCTTCGCGCTCCTCGATTAAAACCAAGATCACGACAGACCACGTTAGCTGCAGCCTGGTCCCACGTACTGTTACATATGGTACCTTTCCATCGTTTGTTGACGGTCACTTCTACTCGACCGTATTCAGGGTAACCAGGAATCGGGTTGACGATATTGAGTGCTGTAAACAGTGGAATTACATAGATACAAATTTAGAAAACCGAATACAGGCAAATACTTAGAAAATAGCATTAATTCACAGTGAGTAAAACGCCGATAATATTTTTATCGTAGAATAACGCTTTGGTTCAGTTATCGTTAAAATCCATTAAGGAAGTCTCCTGTTAAGATCATTCCAAATGGCGAACATCAAATAAATATATCCAGAGCATTAACTTTTAAAAAGTTTCATCGAAAAGTACAGGAGGTTGATGTTTGGAGATAATCCTCGACGTTTGCACACACTGCCACGCAATGAACGATGATCGAGGGCAATATATTCACTGTGGTTATTTGATTGTACATGTATTTGGTTTCAGAAATAGTGTCACATTTATATTAAAATTTAACTATAGCCTCGGTAAAAGATATAATCAACCGGTGGATCCCAGATAATTTCATGTAATGTTTCAGACCAAGTTTAATAACATATCATCTGAAAGATAAGAACAATTTAATAACACCGAGCAAAGATCGAATCCCGATCTCTCCGATGAGAGCCTAGAGCCTTAATCAGTATACCACAGTGCCAGATCTTTCGTATATTAAAGGCAAAGTATGTCCTAACAATATTCAGTGGTTTTCCTGGTACATCTTTTTAATGCACACTTATTTTTATTTTTTTGAAGGTCACTCAAACATGCGGTACAATAGGAGTCATATTTTTGCACATGGGAAGTGGCCAAGAGCTATTGTAGAAATTTGTTTCTGTGTTTGAAAATCATGGGTGAATGATGTACGTGAACTGTGAATAAAGTAGGTGACAGCTATGACTTAAAACTGTGTATGAAAATAGAGGGTCAAAATTGTGGGTAGAAACTATGTGTTGTGTGTGTAAAATTTCCAACTGAAAACTTTGAAGAAAGTGGTTTTGGTTGAATTGTTGATGAAAACTATGGCCCTTTTATATTAATGCTATTAGGGAACTTTAGATAAACATTGTGAAAACTGTAGATGTTAAATGGCGAAAACTTTGGTTGAAAGCTGTGGGGTTAAACCGGCTTAAATCCTTATTAAGTGACGTGTGTGAGCTGTCGTAGAAACAAAATGAGAGGAAAATATGGTTGACATCTCTGTATTGCTATTACAGAAGGTCTGCTAAATTTTGATCTATGCACGCTAAACTAACTTAACACTTTTTTTCAGTTTGATAGAGAGAGAGGGGCCGGGGAAGAGAGGGGGAGGTGTGAGGGGCACATAACAGTCACCTAGGGAGGTAGAGGAGAAGGACTTACCTTTTTGTCCATCTTGACACACAACAAATGGTCTAGCCTCCTGACTGCACTCTCCCTGATAGGCCCATTCTATCTGAGGACAATCGGTGAAGTATTCTTCTTCTCCTGTACAGCTGATTGTGTTCACAATCGTACTCGGTGGAATCACTGGACCTCCTGTCGTGCTAGCTATATATACTGCATCTTGAAAACCACTGTTGATGCAGAATATACGAGCTGCGTTGATGTCCCAATTGTCCAAGCAGAAGGATCCCCAGGTCCGTCCATAATATACAGAAGGAATACCGGCGAAATTGGAATCTACTGACACCCATCTAATGCCCACAGCTGCGAGGAGTGTATTGAAAGTAAGGTAGTAAACAAAACGGACATTGAACAATAATAAACATAACATTGGTTTGAATTTGAAAATGGGATCTAATAATGATATTCTGTGTGTACATTGTAATAAACAGTAAGTCATGCCTCCATAATAGTTTTATTAAAACAAAAGAAACAAATTCAAGATCATATTAAAGATATGCTCTGTACACGTAGCAGATATGTAAAAACTTGTAAAACGAAAAATGCACAAATGCAAAAGATACTACATAGTCGCTTACATGTACATTCAAAATGACAAATAAACAAACAATTACAAAAAATATTGATCCATATGACATCCGTTTCTTGTATCATGCTCATACATCATACGTAGGGTATAGAGTTTTCGTTGTACGTCGGTCTTGTAGACCTTTTGAATCTTTCTATCATGTATTTATTTATTCCGTATGCTGTTGCTTGGTGTGACAAACATTATGGCTTGCCCTACCTAACAACACATTATATACCCAATTTGTACTCTGACTACTGAGTTATTATTCGTAACAGCTAGTGAATGATAAGTCATATCGAGTGACTTTACAAAGACGTATTCAATAATTTCGATTACTTTAATTGCGAAAATTCAAGCCCGTTGCTACAGTGATTTCCATGGTGAACATGATGCGCAGGCTTTGATGTTTAGAACCAGGAACCTTAGTGTCGTTTCAGAAAATCGGCATACAAGTTCGCAATAGACCAGTTCACGGTTAGCACATTACTGCAATGACCCCGAATATCCACACATCTTCAAAACATAAAGAGGTCCTCCTTTGTATAGTTTGAAATAATCACTCCTACAGCGATGGAGGTGCTACATAAATGACCTTTGTTTCCCCTTTTCAAAGAATACTTCCACCTGTGTATCATGGAGTGCATAAATGAATAATGATTACATAAGTTTCATGAGCACGTATCCAGTATTTCGTCTCCATGTATCATGGGTGACGATCCCGGGGGGATGGGGGGATATATCCCCCCCCCCCCCCCAATATTTCAGGTGGGGGGATGGCCTGTACAATCATTCCCCCCAATAATTCACCATAAAAAAAATCAAGAGAAAAATTAATGATAAGAGCCCGATGAGAGTAGTTAATGGTTATTACTCGCAAGATGACCATCAATATACACATTTTGGTATCTCATTTTCATAATACATACATTATATACGAAGTAAATGAGACAACCGTATATTATGAGACAAGAATAAATTGAATTCTCGCTCATACGGCTTCATCAGGAATTGATGAATTTATTCAATTTGTTCAATCAACAGCATCATAGAAATGCAGTGCGCCAAATAAAAAGCAACGAGCTAAATGGTAAGCGCGAAGCGCAAAAGTAGCAATCTGCAATGCACATCAGACAATACTGGACAGTGTAAACATAGATGAACTCTGTGATTAATTAGTAATGAGATCGGAGACAAGGAGAAAGCTTCCACGCTTTGCGCGGGAGCGGGGAAACAGAATTCAGACAAGGATTTAGAGTCGAGAACGGTACAACGAATCGTCCTCTTTCGCAAATAATTTAAAGAAACGTCAAAGCTTTCGCGCTTCGCGCGGGAGGGGGGGGGGGGGAAACTGAATTCAGACAAGGATTAAGAGTCGAGAATGGTACATCGAATCGTCTTCTTTCTTTAATAATATAATGAAACGTCAGAGCTTCCGCGCTACGCGCGGAGGAAGGGGAACTTGATTGAAACAAGGATTAAGAGTCGAGAACGGTACAACGAATCGTCTTCTTCCTCTAATAATTTAATGAAACGTCAAAGCTTCCGCGCTACGCGCGCGAGCGGGAAAACTGAATACAGACAAGGATTAAGAGTCGAGAATGGTACAACGAATCGTTTTCTTTCTTTCCTTAATAATCTAATGAAACGTCAAAGCTTCCACGCTTCGCGGAGGAAGTGGAAACTCCCCCTCCCTGCACCCAACCACCGAGGGAGCGCGTTTCGCGTGCTCACTACCGCCCACCTAAAATAAAATCCTGGCTACGCCCTTGGAGAGGGGTGCAACCTACCACACGCTTCTACCTCTTGGCTGCATTGATCCATTGCCGAAAATATTTTGGCACTTATCATCCCCCCCCCCCCCCCAACCACGGATACAAATCGACACCCTTGTCTGCAATGACCTTTATCTGCTCATGCTCAGACTGCAACCGTAAACTGGCTTATTGAAACGTGTTTAAAATGTAATAGACGCATTTGATTGGGTTTTTGTAATGAACTTGACGCGCGAATATAAAGTTGGCACTTCGGTATATACTCACGGGGTTTGCATTGTACCCCAACATCCTGCGCATGCATACATCTATCAGGTGTCCAGTCATCATCCCTCTCACATTCATCTAATCTATGTTGTTGGGAACATCGAAGGCCTCCGAGCACTATCGGCAGGTCGTCTCCTCCAGAAGCAGGGAAGGCATCATGGACGCTAAGAGGATCGAATCCGAGTCGGATACATGCCACTGTGTTGTCGGATTGGCTCCAGGTTTGGTTGCACACAGTTCCCCAGCCTTGGCTCTCATCCAGGTATTCCAGTCTGCCTTTGCCAAATGATGTAACATCCCCCAGTCTTACAGAACCTACGTACATTGTTAAAAGGATATCACAATGTGTTAAGAAAAGTCTACAGCGGAACATCACTCAACAACTAAATTTTCTTAGATTTGGGGACAATTGTGCAACCCAGGGACCCACCAGACGATCATGATTTTGGACGCCTGTATTTTTCACGACAAACAATTGTATTATCATCTTTGTTGGTGTTGTTCTTATTATCATTTTATCATCATTATTATTAGGACTTAGTATCAGGTATTAGGCGTCACCTGTTCCTGGGAGGGGGAAAGCGAACTGAATCAAAGGACTTCCGATGTATTAAACTGCATGAATTCGAAATGTGCTAGGGGGACCACTACACAGGCCTTGGGTATCCATCTTGCTCTTATACGAAAAGCAGTAGGGTCTTGATGTACAAAAGTGATGACTCTCCCCTACTCTGGGCCTCCATTTAACGTCCTATCCGAGGGACGCGGAGTGTCTTCCATTATAACATAACCTGCGTCTATCGAACAGAATGAAAAGCTCACTTTTGTTTAATGGCTTGAATCCTAGGAGCTAGTGTTACTGTTTGACAGCAAGGACAACCCCACATTCTACCCAGGGAGCTACAAATCATGGACTTAATATTGGCCCGAACTGTCACTGGTTTTATCAAATATCAGACACACCTGCTCAGGAACTGCCCTTCCAAAGTTCTCAAGGTCTGGCCACTGTCCGATCATCATCTCAAGTGACATCAAGCTTCAACTTTCCAACCTACCAAGGAAAAGACGGAATTTCAGAAAAGCTGACTTGTCCAATGTCAAGGAACTCACACACAAGCTATTCCATCTCGTCCTTCATACCCCTCCATCAGCAATGTGAATGACTCCTAATCTGCTTTCTGCTCCATGTTACATCTGGCGGCAAAATTCTGTATCCCGAGGGGCAGAAGACACCCGTATAATTCATGCTGGGACGCAGAATGCGACCATGCATCTGTATGAATCTACACTAAGTCCAACACCATTAAACAAAGAGAAGTTGTAGGGAACGACCTGCTGATATTACTAGGAGAAAAGATTTTACCCAATCTAGAAGTGAGGCCTGGACTACCATCAAAATAATAATAACTATTTCTTATATGGCGCTTTTCAGGAGGGCCCTATCAAAGCGCTTTACAGATATATATATTATTACCCCGGTCATCGGATTCAGGCTTACCCGCACATAATGTATGCACATTCTCCACTCCCTGGGGAGCATTCCAGCCAGGCGTCATTTTTAAAAGCGCACACTTGCTAATCTAAGCACATTAGCTTTCGCATCCTACCGGGTACCCATTTAACACCTGGGTGGAGAGTGGCAAATGTAGATCAATGTCTTGCCAAAGGACATTAGTGCCGCGGTGGGACTTGAACCGCAGACCTTGTGATCCACAGTCCGGTGACATATCTACTCGTCCACGACACCTCTACAATCTACACCAAGTCCAAGACCATTGAACAAAGCTCACTGGTCGAAGCAGTGCTCCAAAACACTGTCTTGTTACTGCAAACTCCATCGCTTCAGTCCTAGTTAAAAATGGAAAGTGGCAAGATAAAACCACTGAGGCCCAAACCCACTCTCGCTCAGTGAATTCTGAGATAAAGAAACTGATGACTACATCCACTATTCCATCAAACAGGAAAACCGCTAAAGTTTTTACCATTCTGAAGCCCAAGAAGCCTGCAAACGAATCCAAAAGCCATCGTCCAATCAGTCTGCTATCTCACATCTACAAGATACTTAAAAGGCTGTTACTTGCCAGAATCGTCGACACTATCGAAGAGAAGTTACTTACTACCCAGGCAGGTTTTAGGAAATTAAATCAACCACCAACCACGTCCAGCTCGCCAACTACGTAGAGATGGCCTTTCAGAAGAAGCAGAAGTTTGGTGCAGTTCTTTTCGACCTTACTGCGGCATTTGACACAGTATTGCACCGTGGCTTAACCTTCATCATCCTGCAGACCATTCCATATGTAAGGATTGCCAAATTTACCATGCTGTTTGTACAAGAACAGGTAATTTGTTCTTGTAACACCAATTGGCGAATACAGCAGAAAGAGTAGACTCGATCCGCAAATTTGTGCCGCAATGCTCTGTTCCCGCTCCGATACTATCAGACATCTATGTCTGTGATATGCCCAAGGGGGATACATGCAGTATTCCTATGCATACGACACCTCACTGGGGTTTGATAACTCCTCCTTCGAGGCAATCGAAACATCACTGAAGAAGGACCTGAGCATGCTAGCTGAGTTCTTCAACATATGGCATCTCAAGATGAGCATACCGAAGACTGTATCTTCAGTCTTCCATCTGGCAAACATATGCCTCAACCTAGAATTGATTAGCTTACTTAATGTGACTAGGCTAAATTTCGTTCCCACACTAAAGTACCTAGGTGTCACTTTTGATCGAAGCCCCACCTTCCACGAGTATGCCAAAGCCACAGCTCAAAAGACCCAAGTCAGATTATCTCTCCTAAAGAAGCTTGTTGGGACGAAATGGGGAGCTGATTTCATCACCCTTCGCACCTCCACCCTAGCACTTGCATTCTCCACCGCCGAGTATGCCGCACCCGCATAGAGCCACAACACCCATGTACACAAGGTCGATGTTGTCCCCAATGATGCTATAAGGCTAATCAGCGGAAAACTCACTCGAACACCTGTCATCTTGCCAATACTATCTGACATACCACCAGCTCAGCTCAGACGAGATTTGCAATACATTAAGTTTTCCCCAAAGCATAACAGAAATGACTGCCTTGTTCCGGCCCCCTCTGCCTTTGACGGACAGTGTCTCCCTTGAAGACACTCTGCAACACAGGCTGCTGAGCTGCCGCTTAAGAAGCCCCCCCCCCCCCCCCCCCCCGCCCCTCCATCTAACCCACCTGGATAGCAAAACACTGGTCAGGCCAGTAGAATTCTTCTACTACTAACTTGAAGGAGTTCCTTCAAGAGCCCTGTGCAGAACCAAGTGGCAGTGACCTCTCAAGAAAAGCCAGGGTTAACCTCAATTGTTTCAGAACTAGAGTAGGCAGTACACCATATTTCCTGCATAAAATTGGAGATGATATATAGCCAAACTGTGTCTGTGGAAAGATCAAAACTATGGATCACGTCACCGATGCTTGTCATATCTACAAATCCCCTCATGGTGCTTCAAGAGCTCGATGATGAAACCGTCAGTTGGTTAAATAAGGATCTTCCTATATTTTTAGATGATCTACTCCTTGATATTCTTCAGACGAACGAACGAGTGCAGTATGGCTTTAACACTGAATATTAGACCCAAATAGTATTTTGTTGTTTGGGGGTATAGTAATGATAATAATAATAATAATAATGATAATAATAATATTTATTATAATAATGATAATGAATAAAAATGTAGTAATAATGATTTAGGTCGCTTCAAATCAATTAAAAGTTTATTTCCTTTCAAAAGGTTAAAGATAAACTTTAGTACTGGTAATGCGATTGCATTGTGAAAGAAAGGTGTGGAAAGGATCAGAAACAGTTGATCATGTAGCATGTAAGTATTGGTGTGGACTGCAAGGTTCTGGATTCATCAACATCATAATAAATTTGACCGAGTCTTGGTAAAGTAACAAGCACTTACACAGAAAGCTATATTTGGGACAACACTCATGGTGTCGGGGCTGGTACTACCTTGTTTTTCTTGTCTTCTTATGCTCATTACTCAGCCAGTATACATTTTCTTCCAAAATTGTTTGGCACATGTCATTTATTTGTAATCTTGAACATTCAGTGTAAGTTTCGTTTGATTCTGTGAGAATTAATTTTCTTTCTTTTTTACCAGAACTCAAGTTTATCTTAAAATATAGATATAAAGTTTTGCGAGCATAAACTTATAAACAAAAAAGAAATTTATATAAAGAGTCAGATCTACATGTATATATTTTCAGAAATTAGAATGCACAATGAATAAAAGCGCATGGAATGTGGACACGAGTTTAATTTAATTAAAGATGGTCACTTACAACAATTATAAACAGAACAAAATAAAGAAGAGAAAAAACAGTAGTAGGATTAGTAGTGGTAATAGTAGTGGTGGTTTTAATAGTGATAAGAATAACAACAATCGCGATAATATGCCATTTTTATGATAAATAGGACTAATATTATATAATATATTACATTACATACAATATGTAATATATATATATATATATATATTTATATGGGTATGTGTGTGTGTATGGGGTATATATATATGCAACAATGGAAATACCCGCATTTAAATGGTTATTTGGATTCGACGGACCGTGAGTCGACTTCTGAGCTTCGAAAAAAATCATGCATAATGATATGTGGATTTGTATAGATGAATACATGAACGAGTACTACACAGTAATTAATCTCTGACGATTATAAGGATGAAAATTGTCAATTCTTATAATAATGGAAATGACTATAACAAATATATGTGAGATGAATGCCAATGAGGATGTTCATAATATTATGAGACAGACAAACAGAAGCCCACCTCAAAGTATATGACCTTGTGGTACCCGTATATGTATTCACCTATACATAACTATATACGTACTTGTCTGCATAATTTTTTGTTAAGTTCAGAAGGCGACTCAGGATCGGTCGACCTGGGGATCGCCAGACCCCATATCAACTTTCATGATAGTATTCCCAATTCAGAAATATATATAATATGGCTCGGGGTAACAGACTAACCTGTAGAAGTACAGACCACGCCCACGTCTTCCGAATGTTCACAAGCGGTGGTTCGAATCGCACTGTGTGTGCATTCAAACAGGCTAACCTCATCACCAGTACATTGTACCATATCCAGTAGTACATCGCCTTCTCCTTGCCCAAAATGACCGGCTATTACAACCTCATCTGCTCCAGTATATCCCAATTGTTTACACAGCACGCTTGCCTCCCTGATGGTCCAAAGATTATCACAAACGCTGCCCCATTGTCCTTGGTAATAAACTTCAACTCTTCCCTCTGATTTACGAGATCCATCAACCAGACGGGCGCCGATACTTTCAGGAGCTGTTTATTGAAGATAGAGAAGATATAATTAAATGAAGGAGAGAGAAATCGGTATGATTAAAAGAATAAATGACATGGATTGAAGAGATAAATGGCAAGACATAACAACAAAAGCAGGGTGTACGACTTGTCAAATGACCACAGATGTAATCCTACAGTATAGGTCCTTTCCGAGCAAATTTGTTTAAAAAATAATACAGACATCTGCACAGTATTGATATGTGAACACACCTCGCCCCAATCGTTTTGATGCTTACATAATTGTGACTCACACAGTGACACACTGAGCACACGAAACATCACGGAGTTTATTCACTAGATAATAAAAAATAGAACAGAATACAGCTAAACATATATATATATATATATATATATATGATCATTATGTAAATAAAATTCTCGTGTTGAGGGATACATAAATAAAATTAAAAAAGAAGATTGATCGCTGTTATTTCTTTTAGCTGCATAGCATTCCCAAGGAAACACGCCTGGTTAATCATATATATCCTTTTGTGAATTGCCTTGGAAACGCTATAATAAGGATTATAATTCATTGAGAAAGACTGTAGGTAACGTCGAAATATTCTGAGCTTTATAAATAGAGAACTGTCGAATTACAAAGCTTGATAATTTTGTTGTTGAACTTTCGCGTCACGATGTTATTATGCCCACACGTGAACTTGATATCGGATACAGGGTATATAAAACAATTATTTGAATACATAAGTAAAAATATTCATGCAATGGATATACATAATCTTTATGTAAACAATGCATAGTGGAAAACAAACGGCCATCAAAAAAAGAAAGAAAGAAAGCGAGAGAGAGAGAGAGAGAGAGAGAAAAGTAAAAGAGGAAAAGGGACAAGGGAGAATAGCATTCAGATAGTATCACGTGGAACACTTAGGCCAGAATTCACAAAGGAGGTTTGTCGACAAACCTTGGTTTTCGTGCGTCATATGACGCGTTCCGACGCGTTTTTACAAACCAGGTTTGTAAAAAAAAACGCGTCATAATTTATGACGTACGAAAACCGAGATTTGTCGACACACCTCCTTTGTGAATTCGGGCCTTTAAGTCTACGGAGACCAACCACTTTGACAAAAATCTTGACAACTGAGATTTTAATGTTGTAAGGTCCAATATTAAATGCTATAAAATACTAGCTGTGTGTACACTGTTGCCCAAGGAGTTGGAACACAATGATCTGATCTCTTTTTATGACGTGATTGTGAGAATATAATTTATTCATGACAGACATATTTTATACGAGAACTGGAGAAATAAATGTCCATGTATAATCACCAATTATATAGATAGAGGCATTAATAATACACATTATTTAGTAGAATTAGAATAACAGGTTTAATTTCAAAACAAAAACCACCCGGTTCCATCATACAATGAGTGAATATGTGTGTTTTGTGGGTTTTTTCCCCCATCAGGAGAACGTATTGTGATATCTCTTTGTTAGAAAACAACAGTTCATAATTCAAAATTTAAAATCCCTCTCTCTCTCAACAAAAAAAGAAAAATCGAATGATCACTGGCGTTACCTCTAAAAAGTGAAAATGTAGTAAACATTTAGTGAAATTCACTCTAATTTGTCTTTCTAGAGACCACTTTAAAGAGAAGGTTGAGTTTTTGGAAGAGGTGAAAAATAAGTTGTGAGCGTTAGCATTCTTATTATGCAAGTGTGGAAGAACATCAGATAAGACATGTTCCCTGAAAAGCATGGCTCTTCAAATGCCTTCATATTCTAAATATGTCATGTAACATCGTAAAACTCGGGGTAGGATTTTTACGCCACGTGTTCGTGTAGTCCCATATACATCTTTCTGTGTACAGTGTATGTAACTTTACCAAGACTTGGCCAATTTTCTTATCATTTTGATGATTCCAGAACCTTGCAATACACACAAATTCTTATATGCTAGATGATCAACCTTTTCTGGTCGATTTCACACCGTTTCTTTCACAATGCAATGGCATGACCAGAACTCAACTTCATCTTTAAAATATATCGATATTCCCTCCTAAACAATTAATCCCTAACGTGACTTAAAGGGGAACGAAAAAGGAATGAAATTCACCCTATCTTTTGTTTTTAATATAGATTATACGCCAGTACTGTATTTGTATATTCTAAATTTTATGTTCATTTATATTTCATATTTCATTTATTGTAAAGGTCTTTGTGAAGTATTTGATGCGATATGTTTCAGTCACCTGTTACGGTTGGATCTTAACAGTCAGAATGAAAATTGCATACATTAGTTGTTACTAAGTAGGACAAACATTGTCGCTTGCCCTACCTAACAACGTATATTATATGCCATTTGAATTTTAAATATTGAAACAAATTATTCATGACAGGTGGATAACATAATTTGTACTTTTAGAAACACTTTACAAACTGATCTATGCATTCAACTTGGTTACATTACGGAAATGTTTTTTGAAACAGATAAATGGCACCATACAAATGCTGTGAATCATCATCATGGCATATTGCATACTTTCTCTTATTTTACCCTATCCCTCTCCTGCCACATAAAAAAATGAAAGTGGATACAAAACAACAGGAAGGTTTGAAATGAGTAACAGGCATGACATTAAATGAGAAAGATTAACTAAATAGCTATAACCCGAAGACCTTCTCTTTCAATCTATATGACTTTACATCAAGAGATAGCAAAGAATAACAAGATAATCCAAATATGAATAGCAAGAATATTAAATAGAGAAGAAAAAGCACTCAACGTCGCATTCTGTACATGTACGTTACACACATTTGTTTTAAAAAAGAGGTCTAAATCAAAGAAACGGTCCCAGTTATTATTCATATTACGTTTAATGGCGTCTGACTCTATAATACGTATTTCAAACTCATATTTGGTTGCCATAGAGTGGTAAAGTGTGCCGTCATCAAAAACTATTTTTGGAATTTCTCCTTAAAAAATTCTTCATTTTCCGAATGAGCTTAAAAATGATGTCCAAAATGTCGAAAACCAATTGAATATGTTAAGTATTGGATGAGATATGACCATCTGAATAAATAGATTTCCTATTGGAACTCAGTGTTATAATAGTGCTCTGGTTCATAACATTTCGAGCCAGAGCATTATAACACTGATTTCCTATAGGAAATCTATTAATTCAGATGGTCATATCTCAGCCAATGGTTTTAGATATTTGGACATTATTTTGTATGCTCTTTCGAAAAAAGAAGACAAAATTCAGAAATTCCAACAATATATTTTGATGATGTCACAGCTTCAGTACTCGATTCCTTGTACACGCCGCCACGGAATATAAATGATAAACCCTCCCCCTACACCAAAGGATGCAAATGCTCCTCACAATGCGTCTTTTATACAGCCTTTAAACCATCACATTTAGGTCTAAATTGTTAAATATTCTAAATTATCATTCATGTACACAGTGCGTGCCAGGACTCCCAGAACAAACTGTGAGCTGTAGAAATATTATACAAATGATGCATGCGCATGAGTTCATTATACGATCTATCCGCACTCGAGTTGAGGCTGTGTGTATCTATCGCACGAAGCCGTTAATGAAAACATGCATCATTTGTTTTATGCAACGAAACTCCTAGATCCTTGTTATTTGATGTAAAAAGAATTCATTCAAGATTGTTTCGTGACAGTATATGGCTGACAAATAAATCTCAAGTTAAATAAGGCTTAATTTAGTGTGCACACATAGCTCTAGATATAGCAAGCGCACTAATTACCTCTATATCCATTTACGCATAGTGCTGCGCAAGAATAGGCTCATGCTCACGCATTATTAAAGCGCTCTAACCTCTACGCGCACTACTGAGTTCTGAAAACGAGTTCAAAAGTACTGGAAAATATTGCACTCCTTTTCATGAAAACGAGTGCACTAGGCTCAGTAAATGAATCACACGTGATCGCGCATGACCAATCATTTGATTAGGATCTTTGAGTGAGTTGTATACAATTCCTTATATAACTTTACATAAAAAGTAAATGCATTATGCAGGCGCGGATCCAGGATTTTCCAATAGGGGGGGGGGGCCGGAAATTCGAAATTCGTGCAGACTATTATTTAAACTTACCTATACTGACAAGGTCATATTAGAAGCACTGTACTTTAATAGTGTACAGGTACCTACAAACGGCCACAATTTTTTTGGAAAGGTGACATGCTCACGTCACATCTCTTGTCCGATATCAACATTCCCTGTTTTCAAGTTATGCTCGCGCGCAATTTGTTTGACATTTCCATCAGTGGGGGCTGAAGCCTCTTCCCCAATATCAATTTCCTTGTTTAATTATGCATGTTGTGAAAGTGTTAATTGTCACCAAAATATACGAGATAAGATATAACAAATGCATATAGGTAATTTTTAAATTTTCGGGGAAAAGAGGCTGCAACCCCATCCCGCATTAACTGCAGGTGTTTTGAAATCAAATCAGACTCCCCAAAAAATTATTAACCACAACGCACGAATCCAGTTTCAAAAATCCAAAAAATGTCAGCTTCAGAGGGGGGGGCACGTACATCACCCCTTAGACTCCCTCTAAAATTATTAACCGAATCGCACGAATCCAGTTTTTAAAAATTCAGCTTCAGAGCTAGAGAGGAACCCCCCCCCCCCCACACACACACACACACACACACACACACCCCCTGTGCGCGCAAGCGCGAAATTAACATTGGCGCTAATGCGTAAGCAGGGGCGGCGGAGCTATTTCCAAAGTGGAAAGCACCAACAAAAAAGGGCACCTACAAAGCGAAATCTCAAAGCGAAAATATACATGTTTTTAGACATTGGTATATACCCTTTAATTGTGATTCCATTATCAGGGACGATTTCAATATTTGTTTTTCTTTATATATTATACAAGATATTGCCTAAGCATCACACTTTCGACTGGGTGTGATTGTCTGAATATTCATTTGCGAGCGAGCAAAGCGAGCGAGAAAAAATGTCAGATCTGTGAGGTCGC